ATTTTCAAGAGATGGCGACTGTTTTTGTCAACAATAAAATGTTCCGTCGGCAGGCGGGTAGATCAAAGGGTTTAGGTGTTTTGTGTGTGTTTTTGTAACCAGAGTTCGTTATGTGAACACGGTTGGCGACAACAACAAGCAACTATCCAATTCACTATTTTGTTTTGGTTTGTGACTTCATGTGACATTATTACTTTATTTACAGTGTTAATATTTGGTAGGTGTAAATTTCAATGATCTCAGGTCTTTATTCTTTCCTTGGTCATCATTTATCCAATCTGCCACAATTTCATCTCTTCTGTATTTTTTTAAGAACAAAACACAAGCGTTACAGAACGCTCTGTGCGAAGGTAACAATTCACGTTGGATTTGAATCGCTGGAGATTGAATTCATTTGAAAACACTCTCTCAGGAAGTTTATTCCAAATAAACGCAGTTCTACAAATGAAAGACTTCTCAAACAGTGAAGTTCGAGGTGTACTGAGTTGATCTTCAAAACGATGAGTAGCCACAGTCCGTCGCGTATCTCTGATATGTACCGCTTTTGGTGGAATCAAATGTGTCAAGTCACTTGAACACCTCCCGTAAAAGTATCTATGAAAGGGGCACAAATCTCCAACCCTTCTTCAATGTTCCAGACTATCAAGGTGGCAAGTGATGTTTGTGTCTCCAATCAGACAGATGGCTCTTTTCTGGATGGAATCCAGCAGCTTCAGGGTATGCTTAAGGGCGGAGCTCCATACATGAGAACAATACTCCAAAGAAGGTCTGATCTGGGCTCTATAAACCTTCGAAGTTGCTGAGGTGTGTACAGTTGTGTGGTTCGGAACAGTGTTCCAAGCTTTTGGCAAGCAGCCTTTGCAATTCCAGCGACATGATTGGTGTCCATTTCAGACATACTGGTGTCCATTTCAACCCCCAACAAACTTATCGAAGCAGAAAGCCGAATTGTCTGTTCTGATATTATTTTTGGAAAAAAACGATGCCGATGTCACGTCTAGATTCCCATTAAGCCATATTAATGATCCCTTAAGATGTTAAGAAAACTTTCCAGATATTCAAAGATATGGTTATTCATGGCTTGTCTCCATAATTTTTATATCACTGATAGCAAAGCGACTGGTCTATAGTTATTTGAAAGATTTTTCTTGTCTTTTTGGGAATAGACTGAACGCGAGGAATTCTCCAATAAGAAGGAAACCCCTCTTTCTTCTAAGACAGGTTGAGAAGTCTGCATAATATTGGTGTGAGTTGATTGGCGCACTTTTCAAGTACGATGACGGGCACTTCATCAGGACCAGACGCCTTGTTGATATTAAGCTGTTTCAAAATTCGCCTGAAAAGACGTTGTCGTCTTAACGATGATCTCATTCAGTATCTTGTTTTTTTTTTGACTTTCGCTCCTGCCGCTGGAAAGATTCGATTAGGTACAGAAAAACCGCAGGCCATTATAAAAAAATCGTCTTTCAAAGGCCTGGTGAAAACCGTTCGTGTAGTGGAAACGACAGAAAACATATCATAACAAAACAATCGACTCAGACTACTTTTTGTCTGTTTGGTGGACCTCGAGTGTCGAGTTTGTTTTCTAAACTGAAGTGTTTTGTTTTTGAAAAAAAAACTAGTCGCAAGCGAGTCTGTTTGGTGGAAACCTGCCTTTACATTTTAGACATTCAGAAGTTATGATAATGTATTCATTGAAACGTTCCACTATAATTTGGTTGAATTCTCTTGTGAATCTATGTAAGCAATTTGCTGCGTAAACTCGATTTCTCATTATTTAGTCATGAACTTTTCACGAAAACTCTCATTTTCAGTTTGTCTATCATTGATTTTCAGGCTCGAGTACTTATGTTTCCTGAAGGAACTAGAAACACTGGGAAGCGATTGTTACCTTTTAAGAAAGGAGCATTTCACCTGGCTGTAGCCTCGCAGTGTCCCATTCAACCAATTGCAGTGTCAAGATACACGTTTTTGGCACCTAACAAATTTGAGAATGGTAAGATCCCAAGAATGTGAGCACATTCATACATGCATCATTCAGAGAAAATGAATTCTCTGTAGATAACCTCAGCAAAATTATCTAACGAACATCAAAGAATATATTTTTATTGACGTTTCATTTCTATGGAAGCTCAAAAAGGTTACATATTTGATCATCCGAAATTACGACTTTGAAATCCGACATTTTGACTTTAATCTCGGAAAATGTCTACTTTGATTCCAAAATTTTGACTTTAACTTGAAATTTCGACTTTAATCACGAAGTTTTGACTTTGATTTCAAAATTTTGACTTCAGTCTCGTAATTTTGACTTCAATTTCGAAATTTCGACTTTAATCACGAAATTTCTACTTTGATTTCGAAATTTTGACATCAGTCTCGTAATTTAGACTTTAACCTTGAAATTTAGACTTTAACTACGAAATTTCTACTCTATTTTCGAAATTTTGACTTCAATCTCTAAATTTTGACTTCAATTACGAAATTTCGACTTTAATCACGAAATTTCTACTTTGATTTCGATATTTTGACTTCAGTCTTGTAATTTTGACTTTAATATAGAAATTTCGACTCCAATTACGAAATTCCTACTCTGTTTTCGTAATTTTAACTTCAATCTTGAAATTTTGACTTTAATCTCAAAATTTCGCCTTCAATCTTGAAATTTTGTCTTCAATCACGGAATTTTTACTTTGATTTCGAAATGTTGACTTCAGTCTCGAAATTTTGACTTTAATCTCAAAATTTCGACTTTATTCACGAAATTTGTACTTTGATTTCGAAATTTTGATTTCAATCTCGTAATTTTGACTTTAATCACGAAATTTTTACTTTCATTTCGAAATTCTTACTCTGTTTTCGAAATTTTGACTTCAATCTCGAAATTTTGATTTTAATCACGAAATTTCGACTTTAATCACGACATATCTACTTTGATTTCGAAATTTTGACTTAAGTCTCGTGATTTTTACTTCAATCTCGAAATTTCGACTTTAATTACGAAATTTCTACTCTGTTTTCAAAATTTTGACTTCAATCTCGAAATTTTGACTTTAATCTCAAAATCTCAGATATTTTTCCGTATTTATATATTTCAGATACAGCTGACAAAATCTATATGGCTCAATAATTGTGAATACCAAATGAACGTGTGTATGTTTTATCGATAGAAACATATTTTCTGCATTATCATTATTAATTAACAACGTTATAATATGACTGGTGTGAGTTTCGGTAAATCTTATCTCTATAATCTAGTCATCAGACAACTAACAATTTACTCGACGATCAGGTGATTTTGAATCGCATATTGATCTTGTTCATCAATAAATGCTCGATTAATATTGATTTTGTTTATAAAATATTGAAACACCTTTATCAGAGTTTTTGAAAAAATCACCTTCCAATTGCTAAACCTTGCATTTTCATTAAAACTAAAATGATTCATAACTCACACTTCCCAACCAATCACAATTGACCAGATTCATAACTCAACAACTCTAGGCCAAACACAGATGAGTAAAATCACAACTTTACAGTCCAAAATATGCTCTCAAATGTCAAACTTAATCGTTGAAGTAGCAGTTCGAGTGAAAATATAGGTATAGTTTCTAACGAAAAAACAATGTGCCGAAAAATTTTATATTTTTCGAAAGTTCAGTTAATAACGAAATAAAAGTTATTAAAAACTGTAGATTATGTACTAATTTGTGTATTGAAACTCTGGCACGCTCAATTTTCAAACTATCAGAAATAAAATAAAATAACAAAAATAGGAAATGTTTTTGAATGTTTAGGTTACTTCTTGTAATAGTATTATTCTTATTCGGGATAGCCTTCACAAATAAATCTTAGATTAAAATATTTCCGTTGTAAGTCACAGAAAAAGTATAGTATTCAACTCGGAGAGATATGACCATTACTTGCTAGAATGATTTACGGCGCTCGCCTTTGGCTCGAGTCGACAAACTTCATTCTCACGATTAATGGCATCATTTCTCGCTCGTTGAACAATATACAATTATTTAGTTGAATGGAAAAATCTTATGTGAAATGAATTTTAAGAAAACACTCTTTCCACCCATGACTCCCGATGATGCTAATTTGTTCAGCAGAACGCGCGACAAGTGTTTTTGATTTATGAAGTGTTTTCATTAGATTATTTTATTATGTATCATGTATTATATTTTATTATGTATGATACGAACAATTATTTTCAGGTGAAATAAAAATCCGAATTCTACCTGCCATCCCGACAAAAGGTTGCAGCGTTGAAGATATTCCTAGGCTGATCGATGAAGCATACAAGGCTATGTCAGAAAATGTGGAACATTTAGAGTCTCTTGTTACAGACAAATTGGAGAGGAGAAGTAAACTGTAACGTTGATGTTGAAAACTATGGGTATAGAATATAGTTTATGTAAAATGTGATGTTTTCACTGACTTTTGTGTGAATATTGATATTCTTGTGATTTATATTGTAGGAAACAATTATAGCTGTCAGCTGAATAGCGCCATCATCAATAAAAATTATTCCCTATAGTCCATTTTCAAGAGATGTGCAGTAATAAATAACTCAATCTGAATAATCCCATAGGCGTACTAACTTTTTAGTCAGTATGCATAAACCTTTGAATGAGTACATAACGACACATTATTGATTTTTCATGGGTTATACTCGAATTCTGATAAACCCATCTTTGGTCGTATGACTATTTTAACATAAAAAACATGTAGATATACCAAAACATGAATAAAATAAGTTGAAAGGGGTCTTACACCCCGTGTAGTCACCTGTATCTACACTGCAATAATAAGATCGCGACAAAGGAATTCATTACTTGCCTGACCCCTCTGGACCTGTACGTTAAGGAGGTTGCGTTAATGGCCTAGTTATGATTGCGCACGGCTGGTGTAAACCTCGAAGAAGGAATGGGTCAATTGAAGCTAAACCTATGACGGGAAACGCTTACTGAGTAACCTCTGCTGCAGGCAGCCAGTGATGCAATTGAACTCAAGTTTGTGTTCAATAAATCCTACAAAATACAAATAAAAGAGAACACAGAGTCAGATGCTACAAATGTAATACGCATCTGTACAGACGGCTCAAAAACCAAATAAGACTCAGGATGTGGAGTTTACTCCAGATCACTAAGCCTAAGGATTAAGTGAGGAATAGGAAAAAATACCAGCGTGGTTCAAACATAACTGGCTGGAATCTCAATCACCACAAAAGAAATAACCGGGAAAGTTAAATGCATCAGGATCTTTTGCAATACTCCCCTAGGAGGAAGTTCATGTGTCTTATATATCTGAGATCTCGAAATTTGTTTTTGTAACAACTTTCTGTTGATCGCGATATTAAGAGATCTGTCTGTTTAAAATCAGTTTTTCCATTAACCAGCTGTCGCACCCCTACGAACGACAACTCTCAGAAGTTGAATCTTGTGCGAGCTAAGGATTAACGAGGTCTTACCTTTTAACGTGTGATTCCTAACACGGGTTGGAAGATAATCGATCGTTCAGCCTAGGGCTTGAACCACTGACCAACACGGCAGTCAATTCGAGTGAGTGAACAAAGCACCTACGTCGAACCAACCGGCTACCGACCTACCAAAAGATTAAATACAATGATTTTAAGCATCCTACTTCTATTCTCAAACCGACTGATCATTATGACTTAAGATTCTTTCGGTATAAGTGAGTAATATTTTTTAATTGTGAAAAAAAAAAGACTGAACTTGCTCAATTGTGCTTAACATAAAAAAATAAACAAGTTGCTATTTCTGGAGATGACAGCTTCGACAACAATTTTGAATAATTTTTCCTGAAAGAAGTTATCTTCTATCTTTAACACCCAGTACCTACTTCTGATGAATAATTTGGTCATCCTATTCATGATACACAGGTACAGTCCCTCTAGGGACGCCAATGGTTTACTCATTTTTCATGGTGAATGGTAAATCTAGTGGGCGTAAAAGAAACCATCTGTCCGAAAGTGAAAGACAACAATAAACTATGAAAGAGCATACCTTCGGAACTACGCAACCAATAATACATCATGCAATCATCAAATGACGTCACACATTTGTTATTACTGAATGAAAACCCATAAAAAGTGGTGTTATTATTCTAGACATACCGCAAGTGCAATGAGGCGATCTCTAAGATTGCCTAACTTCAGAACAATATTAGAAGATAAGCCATACAAATACAGTTCGAATAAAATATTTTAATCAGACGTTCTTATCTGAAAGATCGGGCGTTTCACTCCAGTATTAACAAAATCAGTGACTCAGAGGTTCGCAGTGTTCTGTTCATCGTGTGTGTACGTACCACTGGTTGTTGTAAATAAAGAAGGCTGTGATCGTTGTGTTATTCACAAATATTCGCCAGTTAACAGTTGGAAACAAATGTGAACGAAAGTGTGAAAATGGCTGGCAATACGGGTATGGAACAGCTGATTCCGATAGTGAACAAGTTACAAGATGCCTTTACTCAGCTCGGGGTTCATTTAACTCTGGATTTGCCACAGATTGCTGTGGTGGGAGGACAGTCAGCGGGAAAAAGTTCCGTTTTGGAAAACTTTGTCGGCAGGTAGGCACTTTAAAAAACTGCTTTGTTTTCATACCTATATAAGTTTTTATTTGATTCGAATCAGTTTTTAAATTATCTACTTAACCTACATGACCATTCAATTAAAGTTGATGATTATAAGCTGTGATAAATGGAGGTGCGATAATGTATAGTGAAATAAGGAAGGATTTAAAAAAGATTTTGTTTATTTGAGATCCATCAAAAGTGTTTTTGCAAAAGTCATAAATTTATTTTGAGTTGTGTTGACACTATGAAGGGCTCACGATAGGAATATCGGTACAATCAGAAGCCACCCAAAGTCTACTAATGATACAAGAATTTGAATGATAAAAGAATCGGAAATCACTAAATGTCTTGACACGGGTTATAATAGAATGGGAAATGTTTCTCAATTGGGGTTATTACAGCAATTGCAAGTTTGAACAAAATNTCCTTAGATGGGTTGAAGGGCACGACAGGAGTAAAGGTAATTGCATTGCCGACTCTTCAGGTAAGGAAGCAGTTGGATTAAGAATTTTAGGACCCAGTGACAACTACGACCTGATGACTTCGACACTTGCGGAACTAGCCAAACGTCTCACCCATGCTCATTCCCTAAAGAGATGGGATGGAATCAAAGGATGCAGTCTTGCCAGGATCACTCTGGGCGACCCTGGGAAGCTGGAGCTGAAGAAATATCTCTCAACGACCAGAAAAAACCTCCGCTTAACAGTAGGATTTCTGACCACTGTCAACTGAGGAACCACCTCCATATTATGGGCTACTAGTGACACACCTCTATGCAGGTATGTCCTATGCGAGTGTCCGGAGTTATCGTCGATAAGAGAGTGTGTGTTCGGCGAGTCTTGGCCTTCACCTGCCGATATAAAGGAGATATCTCCTAGTGACCTGTCCACTTTCTTGGAAAGGACAGGATGGACGATGGCCTAGGAGGACAACTCCTCGCGAAGATGTACAGTAACATGTGGCCTAACTGCTGTGGGCCTACACTCACCCTCCCTATTCTACAAACAGAAGGGGTATATTTTTCGGAGGGATTAGTTTTTGGAAAAATGGCTTACGACTTCGTGTCACAGATGGAACGAATCTACTCATGTCACGATTATAGACGTAAAGACATTCATACGCTCGATTGATTCAATACCAGCCATAGGAATATTGTCTAAATTGAAAGAGGTATATTTTAAGGAGACATTAGTGTTCGCATTCTTCCTTCCATTGGAATTTTACCACAATTTTTTCATGAAGATGGAAAAGTGAAAGCCAATAAAAAGCGTTTTCCCATGAATGAAATATTTAAGCTATTACTGGGTGTTCTCATGTCAAATTTACTCAGTATAAATAGTTATTAATGAATTAAATTATGTTTGGTACATTTCAATTTGTTTCTCCAATTCGAAGCAAAGTTAAAACACCATTCAACAAATATTAGTCATAGCAAAAATACTGCGCCACCTAAACAAAAAGATTCATAAACATTCCGTTTACTTTAGGTATAAACAAACAAGTTGCTGACGAATATGTTGCAAATATTTGTTCCTAAAAAATTAATTAAGGAGTCGAACGATAAAATAAATGCTAATAATTATCCGCAATGATAGTTACATGAGATTTTCATCACAAGCTGGCAATTACCATAAAAAACGGTTTCTAAAACTTTCCACGTAATCAACTATAATCATCTGTTTTGTTCTAGAGATTTTCTACCGAGGGGATCTGGAATCGTAACGAGGAGACCTTTAGTTTTGCAACTTGTATATTCAAAAGTCGGTGAGTTTATTCATTAAAATAACATGATTAATAATTTGAAAAATTTCAAATTAGTTGTCACTTATTCAGTCTGTTTTGCCAAATCACATGGATGGATATAGCATTCAACAACACGTGCAAATTATTAAATTGTTTTTCCGAAATGGGTGTCGTGTTCCGGCAACGTACCGCGCTCTTCCCCCATTTTACGGTCGCAATATGGTGGATAATTTTGAGTCCACTGGTTTAGTTACCGATCAAACAACACCCGTACGCCGACGAAACGCAAGATTCCAAATCAAGTTACTTCACGACGTTTCGATTGTTAGTATCCACAATCGTCTTCGGGTGATAACTGGACCAATGACATCTTAGTTTTGAACAGGTTGGAGCCTGGCTCCCTTACCCTTACGACTGACGTTGTCAGAAGGACAAATGGGTCATAACTGATCATGGGATGGCGGCATGAATGTCCTCAGACATCAGTACCGCCCTTCACGGTGAACCCCCGCCTGGCAAGGGTGTTAGGATGAAAAGATTGTTCAACTGTCAACGGGGGACATGAGGGCCGCATTCGAAAGAGTGTCTGGGCCTTCTATATCGGGAGGGGTCGTCTACAGCATAATCTATAGCTTCCTTAACTAAACTGGACCTATTCCTCCGAAATCTGACCGTTTAGCGGGAGTTAGTCATGTTCCGCTTGGTTAGAGGTTTCCATATGTTGCGTATCTCTACGCCAGCTTGGCTAAATGCGTTGTTGGACAACATATATGCGACTTCTTTGAATTTTCTCCTAAACCAGTGTTTCTCCTTGTGGAGTCTACTTGGTATTATGTTGATGCTCTGCTATTCCTGATTTGCTGGTTTCTCCTCGCTATGTGTGTTTCTTGTGCTCGGCAATGCGAATCTTGTTATTTTTCAGCTAATCTTTTTAATTTTTTACATAACCTTTCAGGGATTTCAAATCAATTTATATCATATTAGACAATGGAAGTCCGAACTAATGATATAATGGTTTATTCAAATATAAACAAATTAATAAATTTTTATGAACTTTTATCCCAGGATCGTATGAATTATATATCAAAAGGGCTCCACGAAGTTTATAGGCCAATTATTCATATCTTTTATACCATTATTTATGTCAACGGAGATTGGGAAAAAATTTGTTGGTTAACAATTGAATAACTTTTTGAAAAATAGTGATAAAACTTCATTTACTACGGGACTCGATTCATTGAAGTGTTCAGAAGATACTAGATTTTTCAAGTTTTTAAAATGACATTTTATGTTATGAAAAAATTATTTCTTTTGATAAACTCTCTTTAGTGTCAGCGCGCGCATGCCGAAACAGACGCGGGGAACCCTATTTTCAACGTCAAATTAAAATTATAAATAATGGAGATAGAGTTTCGGGAGTCGGGATTTTTTTATCGGAAATTTCCTCCTCTTCAACGAGCTTTTGTCAAAGTTGCTTAAATATTAATATGTTTTGAGTTATTAACGAAAAACTAAATACCATTTTAAATCTTATTTTGTTAATTACAATAATTGCAATTTTTCACCTGCACCAAAATCCTTCAAAAACATTTCTCTAGAGGTGATTCCGAATCGAATGAGCTATCGCTTATATTTTTAGAACCTTTATCTCTATTTTTCATGTTTTTGAACTTGTTGACTAGACTATCGTCGGAGCAAACATGAAGTTATCAAAAAAATATATAAATACAAGTAAATTTTACAAATACACCCCAATTTAAGAAAAGTCATGCCAAAGTGATTCAAGTGTGGCTACTTTGAATATTATTGAATCAGAATACAGAAACAATATAGGTATATTATACGGGAGTATGATTTTCAGTATATCTTTTGTCTCTTCCTGTATGATATTTAACTCAATCCATTCTTAGTGCGTTTGAAGCAATTAAATTCCGATTGAGCATCAATTGAAAAAATCTTTTTGTACACTTACTGGGCCACAATGTAGAGTTGTAAATAACACAAGAACATGGAAACCTGAAGGAATTTCAAGAAATGAATCATAAGAACTATTTCCAAGTTCTGAAAAATACAAATTTTTCTACAAATAATCTGATATAAATTATGAGAGGTCATGGTTTTCTTATGAAATTTCAACAATATTTTTGTAGAATCTCTCAAACTGTTTTCGTGTTTAAGCGCTGATGACTTATCTCTAGATGAAGTTTTAATTGTACAGGATTATTTCGAATTACTTAATAGCCAATTCAGTACATTTTTCTGTATATTTAGAATCAAGTTTTGTAAATTCTGTGATTTGCAAAAAAAAGGATTTTTTCTACTTTATGTTGTAAACTATAATATACTAAATTGTGAGAGACGGCAATAGTTGATTTCTGTGCACCAGCTGCGGTCGAATTGGTAATGAGTGCGGGGTGTTAAGGGTTAATTGGTTCTAACAAATTAATTTAATAGCCTTTTATTGTATGAATGTCTGTTGTCTGTGTAAAGTTCATCATCCACAAAGGTTTCGAAGATGCGTGTAATGAAAATATGTTAATCGAACCTAGCTTTCAGGTGAAAACACGTATTTTCAACTCTTCTAGTGTTTTGAATAGTGTTTTTACTTTTTTCTGAAACTGTTATATTAGAACTGATTCGTCTTTTAATGACAACTCTAAAACCAAATGCAGCTACCTCATAGATCTGGCTGCTAAGGTTTGTTCAATACTATGATTCCGAAATTTCACTAGTTCGGACTTCCATTGTCTACTATATAAAATGATTTGAAATTCCTGAAACAACTAAAAAAGAAGAATTAAAAATGAGATAGCTGAAAATAATAATTATATTAACCAAACACCTATTCACACTCGACCAAATAAACTCAGCTTCTTAACGAAGCCGATTAGTTTGTATGGTGAGTGGTCTTTCAGGTCAGATGGTAAGAATACGGCAATGATTCGGTCCCCAGCGGGGCAGGCACAAAGTATGTGCTCTGGTGTTTTATCATTTTCCAAACAGAAGCGACACAAACTGTCTTCCGACAGTCCGAGTCTCTGCATATAATGATTCAAATGACAGTGACCTGTAAGAAGGCATGTTAGACATCGTAGTTGATCCACACTGTAGTCGAACAACTGTTTGGTATCAAGTTTCTAAGGGCGAATAAACGCCTTGGAGTGAGCCAGTCCTGGAAGAGTACCCAGGAGTACCCACACACGGTCAAAGGCCTTAGAAATATCAAGCGCAACAGCTCTTGACTCTCCATGTTTCTTGATTGCGATTGCTTGAAAAGGATCTCAACACGAATCTAGAGAGATATGTTACTGGATCAACTGTATCTGCGAACAGTTGAACGTAAGCATGGTGTAATCATGGCGATATCTGGTCTCCAAGGAAAAATAATACACAAGAAGTCAAGGGAAGATGGAAGGAATATAAAAAAAAATGTGGTTGACTCTGGAATATCCTGGATTTTCTCGTAGATTGCACTTCTCTCATCATATCTAAGCAAGGCCGCAGAAATGAAAATATGCTTTTGAAATGTCCAATTGAATTCTACGGGTTTTTCCAATTCCAATGTTTCACTAATCAACAGAAATAATCTTTACGTTATAAACAAAGTGGGTATGCCATTTATACAATTGAGGTTTAATTGGATATTCCGTTTATTCAAATAGTTTGATATGTCCTACGTTGTCATAAGTTTGCTTTCATCTGAATCGTAGTTAACGAGAGTTAGTTTTGATACTCCATTGAAAATTCTCAATCAAAATATGAGTTTGGAGCTTGGTAGGAGATGAATCTCCAGGAAATCCTTGAATTTCTAGGAAATTCAAGGATATCGCATGGCATGCCAGAACGATTAAATATATGTTTCCCTAATCAATATGATATTTTTTCAAACTATCTTAAATTTAGATAAATTACTGTTACTCCCAGTATATGAAATTTTGTATGAAATTATCGATTCTTTTTTCATATCCGAAATTATTATGGATTGAATGTGTCTTTAAAAGGTTATTTTCCTGCCCTCCACAAGTCGTATAAGTTTCATGAAGACTTCTGAGGATTCCTCGCTTATTTACTAGCGTGTTGTTTTTTCTACAGAATATGCTGAGTTTTTACACTGCAAAGGAAAAAAATACACTGATTTCGACGAGGTTAGAAAAGAAATTGAGGCTGAAACCGACAGAGTTACCGGTAGTAATAAAGGAATATCTAGTTTACCAATTAGTTTAAGAATATATTCACCAAATGGTAAGTACTTTAGGTATGTTTTTCCGTTTACTAATATAGACTCAATTTAGCGAATACAAAAGTAGTGTTAACAGCATGTTTTCAAATATTTCATGAGATATCACATTCGGAATAATTGGTCAGCTGAATCAAGTATTAGTTCAAGTATTAGGTTGTTTCAGAAGTCAGTAGAAAATATCGAGTCATCCACAAAAAAAAATGTCATTTAAAGAATACTATTACATTATTACTACTATAATCTGTTTCTGTTGAAATCTAATATACTGTTATAAATGTTCTCAGTCGTTTATATAACGATCAAGCATGATTAGAATTGTCAAAAAATTGAGGGTAAAGAATTTCAAGATTTTTTCACCTTCAATAATTTTATCGTAATTATTTCCCACTTTACATTTTACAGTACTGAATATAACATTGATCGATTTACCGGGAATGACAAAAGTCCCTATAGGAGATCAACCTACAGACATAGAACAACAAATTAGGAGTATGATTTTGCAATTCATCACGAAAGAAACGTGCCTTATCTTAGCTGTTACTCCTGCAAACACTGACTTAGCAAACTCGGATGCCTTACAAATTGCCAAAGAGGTAGATCCTCAAGGTAAGAAGATATTTCAGAAAATAATTACCAATTTGTCGGATTGCTTTTATAATTTAAGCGCTCTGATTTCTTAATCGAAGTAACACTATTTATAGTTTTTTTTATTCGATTAATGACAGTCAATTATTTATGCTCACTTCTGTGGATTTTGGCGCCATTTTCATAGTCTCTAAAATACTAATTTGTTGATTCCTCGGATACCTAATGATCTATACTGTTATGTATCATTCAATATTTGTTTACTTTCATGGTGCATTTGGTGTTAGAACGATTAGTGCTGGTTCGAAAATCCACATTGCATTCATCACTTTTCTAACTTTAACACTTAGATAGTCCAAAACTCGTAAACTACTAGGTGTTTCCTAACTACGGTACGAAACTATATAGGTTGATTCCTTTGGTCGTTTTCAGAAGAAAGTTCCTATGAACATATGCTGTCCGGAGTTAGGATAGGTTAGGTCTAATGTGAGTGGGTCTCGCGCAACCCGCAAGGGTTTATTACGGCTAACACATATTCACAAACGAAGCCGATTAGTTTTTATGGCGAGTGGTCTTTCAGGTCAGATGATAAGCGTACGACTCTGCCGAATTCTAAAAACCTGATTCGGTCCCTAGAGGGGCAGGCACAAAGTATATGCTCTGCTATTTCATCATTTTCCAAACAGGGGCGACACAAACTGTCTTCCGACAGTCTGATTCTCTGCATATGATGATTTAAATGACAGTGACCTGTAAGAAGGCCTGTTAGACATCGTAGTTCATCCCTATTGTAGTGTAACAAGTGTTTGGTATCAAGCTTCGAAGGGTGAATAAACGCCTTGGAGTGAGCCAATCGTGGAAGATTCTACCAGAAGTCCATAAATCTTCTTGCCATCCAGGTGTTCAATGTTTGTTTGGCAAAGTCTAAAGTGATGCTAGTGACAGGTTCTGGTTCGATGAAGCTCCTTGCAGCACCTTCCTTTGCAAAGAAGTCAGCAGCCTCATTGTCTTCCAGGCCAGTATGGCCAGGAATCCAGACCAGAGGCAATCTGTTAAGTCTTCCTATTGAGGAGAGTCGTTTTTTTGGCAATTTCCTACCAATTTAGACGTTTAGCTTCCAACGCCACTTGACTGTCCGAGAATGTTTTTATTGACTTGTGTATGAGGTTAGATTCTTCCAACAGTCTGTTTCTCTCTGCATTACATTCATTTGTGCAATTGGCAATGTGCACAAGTCTGTATGCAGTCCATCTAGCCTCTCTCTAGAAGAATGTGGAGAGGAGGTAGATCTAAAAGAATTTCCATGGCCTCTGACGGTGTGATACTGATGGCACCACTGATGACCAGACAAGCCTGTCTCTGTAAGCCAGAGAGCTTCCCCTGGGCCGTTTTCTGTAAAGCCCTCTGCCACCAAGCAATTGCACCATGAGTGATCATTGGTCTGACAATCATCACACAAATCCTGTATCATTATGTTGTGTATACACGAGCAAATCTACAGTATTCCTGTTACTGGAGAAATATTACCGTAGACAGCACTTTAGATAGCGTTACAGATACAGCACTTACCCACTTCACTTCAGTACCCCAACGAAATAGAATAAGATCAGAACCCCCTGCATACTTCACTACCCCAAAGAAATAGAATAAGACCAGAACCACAAGGATCATTTGTAGCAGTAACTTTATTCTTCCGGAGTTAGCGCTGATACTTGCCGCAGAGAGAATTCTTCGCAGAGGCTACCTTTTGTGAGGGGCGTTGTTCCTCTAAGAGGTGAAAACTCGTCTCTCCTGTATCCAAATAGTTCAGGATGCTTTCATCTACGAGTTGCACATCCTATTCATAATCCCCATTCTCCCCTTTTTAATATTCCATACCGATAGTTTACTGGCACCCTTCCACCATTCTCAAGGACTGATCGAGTTCTTTTTTTATGAAGCGTAGAGTTCAGGATCATCAACATTAATCCGTTCCATCAGCCTCATGAAGACGACTGTAAACGCTTGTTTCTGAAACTTCAAGGTCAATCATACAAAATAGATGAGCGACTCTTCTATTATCTGATACCTGTGTGTACTTACAGTTGATTTCTTCAATGTCCTCCACCTTTTATTTTTTGAACGGGTCAACTCAAAAATTTAAATTTGGGATAATGAAATTAATGTATGAATACTTTATTTTGAAGTGAAATTGACAGAATAAAACTTTCAAGATGGCGACTTGGCGCCATCTGGAAAAAAAATTATGGAGGGGGGTTTTGTGACACATCATTTTGAAGCTCGTGATGAATACGTCACAATCCTAGGATCTGAAGTCAATATCTTCACCTACTACAAAATGGCGGAACATTTGATAATTCCCTGAAGACAAACACATCAATATCGATATTTCTAGAAATATTCCTTTTTATCTGCCATATGGCAATTCCAACAACGCGATAAGATTTTTTAATAAGTTATTTTTTTGTATATAAAAATGACAAAAAATATCAGTACGACAATGAACATCATTGTTCAGTTAGAATATTCTCATTTAGTTTTCGGTTTTACCAGTAGAAAAGTATCACGTCAACAACCTCTAAAATGGTCAATTCTCGTCAATTGGAAGAAAAAATTGAAGCAATTTTTATTTACGGTGCGACGAGTAATTTTCACGAGACCGAAAGGATTTTCATTGAACGTTTTCCGAATCGTCCTATCTATAGAAAATATTTGAGAAAACTTGTATCCGAATTCACAACTACTGGTAGTGTACATAACAAAAAGCCCCCAGATCATCCGTCCATTCCGGAAAAATAGCAAGTGCAAATAATTGGTGAGTAGTCTCCTTCTACTGTGTGGAGACTTTTGAAGAGGAATAGATATCATCCATACAAAATTAAAATGGTACACCAATTAACTGAAGATGACCCTGATCGAAGAACAGAATTCTGCGAAATCATGTTATTGAACTAACACCAACCCTCACCTTTTTCCGGGAGACACATACCTAATATCCAAAAAAATTGGGGATATTGGAAAACCATATTGTAGGACCTCTATTTATTGATGAAAATTTAACAGGGGAACTGTATTTGAATATGAACAAGATGGAGCACCACCACATTACTCCAGACAAGTAAGAAACTATTTGGATACTACTTTTCCTGGTCGTTGGATTGACCGTCGAAGTCCTACAGAATGACCAGCCCGCTCGCCAGATTTGACAGCTTTGGATTTTTTAAGGGGATAATTGAAGTTAAAGGTGTGCAAAACTGAACCTGCTTCAATATTGGATATACGGCAGAGAATAATAAATATTTGTAGACATATTGACGTTACTGTGTTAGAAAATGTTCGGCGTAAAATATCGGATAGGCTGTTCATATATCAAGAAGTTCAAGGCAACCATTTCTAGCATCTTCTGAACTGGCATCAAGCTTATTACCTCATATTATGTAGTTGAATGTCAATGTATTCAGGCAATTATTGAAAGTTCCGCCATTTTGTAGTAGTTAAAGATATTGACATTATATTCTAGGGTTGTGAAGCATTTGTCAGGAGCTTCAAAAAGATGTGTTACAAGACCCCCCTTTCCATTAAATTTTTTTCCCAGATGGCGCCCAGTCCCCATCTTGAAAGTTCCATCTGTCAATTTCACTTCAAAATAAAGTATTCAAGTATTGATTTCATTATCCCAAATTTCAGTTTTTTGAGTTGACCCGTTCAAAAAATAAAAGAATGACATTAAAGAAATGCATTTTTGAGCGTATGGGAAAAGAGAAATGATGAGGTTCAGGAAAAAAGAGGAAATATGCTGCTCTGTTAACACTTCACTGAAACTGCAACATTTTCTATTTTTATCTCTTTCTACTCATTATAAGTATTTAAAATACTTACCCAAATACCACTAGCATTGTTACGTATCCACAATCTTTCGTTAATGCTTCGAAAGGGATTGAGAATATTTGGTTGAAATTTTTCCGCTGGATTTTTAGGAGATAGAACAATCGGGGTCATCACAAAGTTAGACATCATGGACGAAGGAACAGACGCTAGGTATATTTTAGAAAATAAATTGTTGCCCCTTCGAAGAGGGTACGTGGGGGTAGTGAACCGATCCCAGAAAGATATAAATGGTCAAAAGGATATTAAACTTGCCATTGAAGCAGAACGCAAATTCTTTTTGAGGTAAGGAAAAACAAAGAATTGTTTCATAAGTACAATATGTTTTTTGTCCCGCTAACTTTTTTCGCAATTTTCACACTTTTGATTTTATATTTTCATTTCGGATCTATACATTTCTCATACATTTCAGTAGACAATTGTCCTGAAAATCTTGAGAAAAAAATTGGATTTGGTAATTCAGAAAACACTTGTTTCATAGCATTTGAATAGCATTTTACAAGGTTTATTCATGATAATTTCAAGAACGAGGTTTTAACGATGAACGAGAACGAGAATGTTTCCTACTTATTCACCAAACTCAAACAATTGTTCATGCAGTTGCAGTTTCGAAAGAATGTATCATATTTCCCACACACCGATTTCCTGGAGTCTTTGAAGTCCACTAGATACTCGTTAGGACAACAAGAAGATTGATCTAAATTCTAGGGGATCTTGTTGAATACTCTTTGTGAGCAAAAAAATTGCAGAATCATTACTCCTAACCACTCTGGATTGAATGGTTCCATACAGTCTATTTCGTCTTGTGTTTGTAGATTTTTTGCTAGAGAAATCCTCATTTGTTTACTTCAAGAGATAGCAAAAACGTATATGGATTTCTGGAACTTCAACTAGCGTTTCTTAATATGACTGGTAACCAGTCCGTGCAAAGCTCATTGTTAAATCATCTGAAAATTGAACTTTTAACAGGTGATGATCAACTGTATTGCCAAACATGCGCCAAACTAACTGACTACTATAAGAAAACAAGTATATCTGAGGCACCAGTCAATCTAATAATGACACTGATGATCTTCGAGCATAACTCAACCTCTGACGGATGCACCAAACTCTTACGAAAGTTCGAAAAAGATTAACACTTCAATCTAGCAGACCATTATTATAATCTTCATGCACTCATTGCTCACTGTAGTTCTGGCATTGAATCTGGTCATTATTATTCATTGGTCAAAGACGAAACAGACTGGTTTAAGTTTGATGATAGTCGTGTCACGACTATCTGGCGATGTTTTGAATTTATTGGAACCTCTGGAGACACCCTACATTTTGTTTTATGAAAGAGAGGACATTGTAGATCAAAATCTTCAGATGATGTGGTGCTGCAGATTTTTCGGTTATCATGCAGCTGAAAAAGCAAATGCGCTACTGGAATCAATGAAGTCGCCCCGGATCGCCAATTTAATTTTTGTTGTTTCATAATTTCATGATTTGTACAACAGAATGTATTTTTGTATGGTTTCAAGTTGTATTGTGAATTTCATGTTTTGGGGAATGTTTATTTCTCATTTAATTTATGAGTTTGACTTCAGAAAACTTCTTGACATTTTGGACATTAACCGTCTAAGATTTGAAATACTTTTGAGTCAAATTTGTACAAATAAGTTCCCAATAAGTGAGTTGTTTGAAATGTATGAGATTATCCAGCTATGTTTTTCATAACTGGTCACATAGCAAATGTCAAAATAGAAAATAAAGGTCTAAAATGTAGCATAATTAGTAAGAACATATGAAATAACAAAACAAACAACGTACATATCTTCTCATTTCAGCCATCCTGCTTACCATCACATAGCAGATAAACTAGGGACGCCTTATTTGCAGAAAACATTGAACGAACAATTGACCAACCACATTCGTAATACTTTACCAGCTCTGAGGGACAAGCTCCAGAAGCAACTAATGTCTTTGGAAAGAGAATTGGGCGATTTCAAAAATTTCAGCCCGGATGATCCAAGTGTCAAGGCCAAAGCTATGTTACAGTGAGTACGGTTTTGGTGATTTTATGCAGAAGGCAATGGTGTCACTCGATATGACTCAGTTGATACAGTATTCGGCTTTCTTTCATTTAATGAATTTGACATTTGTGTTAATATGACAGTTGTGACATGATCTCTATATCACAACGTGAATGGCTACTGCTATTTTAGTCCATAATCACGTGACACTTATTGTATTGACCATTACTGTAATTTTAAGAAAAAAGTAATAGTGAGATATGATTCTTTTCGTATTCCTAACGGTGGGATTGAAATAACTGGATTCAGAAGAGTGTAAACATTTATTTCCGGAGATAACCGCATCAGGTTAGTTTGTTGTGGTTTAGACATTGTCAAAGACGGAATCGAAGAAGCAGTATTCATGATTATTTGTGATAGATGAATTAGTGAATGAACTTCTGAGTCATGGACAATTGAACTGGAATCGCTGGCAAAGAGAGAAAAGGAAGCATCGGAAAAGTTTCAATTCAACAATGAATGCTTATAAATATTGACTATAACAACTACAAAGTATAATAAAATAACAAAAATAACATATTTTACAATAAACACATATTATATCTTGAGAAGAAAATGGGATTAGATAATTTAGGAAACACTTGCTACATAAATAGTATTTTACAAGTGTTGTTCATGACGAAGAATTTCAAGAACGAGGTTTTAACGATGAACGAGAACGAGAATGTTTCCTACTCATTCACCAAACTCAAAAACCTGTTCATGCAGTAAGAATGTATCATCATTCCCTCCAACCGATTTCCTGGAGTCTTTGAAGTCCGCTAGAATACTCGTTAGGACAACAAGAGGATTTTTCCGAATTCTTGGGGTTCTTGTTGAATACTCTTCGTGAGCGAAACAATAGCAGAATCAATACTCCTGACCGCTCTGGATTGAATGATTCCGTACAGTCTATCTCATCATGTGTTTATAGATCTTTTGCTGGAAAAATCCTAATTTGTTTACTTTGTAGTAAATGTTCAAGGGGTAGCAATAACGTATTTGAACTTCTGGAACTTCAGTTAGCGTTTCCTAATATGACTAATAACCAGTCCGTGCAAAGCTTATTGTTGAATCATCTGAAAATGGAACTTTTAAGAGTTGATAATCAACTGTATTGCCAAACATGCGCCAAACTAACTGAGTGTTATAACAAAACAAGTATAACTGAGGCACCAGTCGATCTAATAATAACACTGATGTTCTTCAAACGTGACTCAACCTCTCACGGAAGCACCAATCTCTTACGAATGTTCGAAATAAACACTTCAATCTAGCAGACTACTATTATTATAATCTTCATGCAGTCATTGTTCACTGTGTTTCTGGCGCCACTGGAATCAATGAAGTCGACCCGGAGCGCCAAATAATTTTTGTTGTTGTTTTATAGTTTCATGATTTGTATTTTGGAAGTGTTATTATAGAAGTAATATACAGGGTGTTAATTAAGTATGTACCATAAATTTAACAGACGATTCTTTAGGTAATTTTAAGACGAAATGTTCATATAAACATGGGTCATAAACATTTCATTGTTAGTAAATTGAACCATGTTTTACAAAAATGGTTTGAAAAAAAAACACTAAACACACTTGTTATAACAATTATAAATGAAAAGCTTATAAAGTTGACAACTGTCAAGTTGTTTATTAAATGCTGCAATCATTTTCCAAGGCAACCCTTGATTATTATTTATGGTATTTTCAGAAGAGAACGAATAACTTTTTTTTTATTTTAACACCCTGTATCTTGAGAACGAAGGATTTGTGGACCCATGTTTATATGAACATTTCGTCTTAAAATTACCTGAAAAATAGTCTGTTGAATGTATGGTACATACTTAATCAACACCCTGTATGTACCTGGATACGTATGTAACCTGGGTACAATTGCATCACTGGTTGCCGGCAGCAAATTGCGCAATAAGCGCTTCTCGCCATAGGTTCAGCTTCAATTGACCCATTCCTACTTCGAGGTTTACACCAGCAGCAACGCAACCTCCTTAACGTAAAGTTCCAGAGGAGTCAGATTAGTAATTAATTCAATTGCTGCGGTTGGTGTTGTTCTCATGGATCCTGTGATGTTTAAACAAGCCAATCGCTGTATTTGATATAATTTTTGGCTCCGTACGTTAAAATAGGTCTTATTATTGCAGTGTAGATCCAGGCGACCAAACGGGGTGAAAGACCCCATGCGCGTCCCACTGTACACCGACATTGCTCATAAGCCACATATGCTCTTTTTGTTCTACTCTGTAGGTGAGAGTCCCATGTTAGCTTCCCGTCGAGGATAGTACCAAGGTATTTCGCCTCTTCAGAGAAGTTTAGTTTGCTTTTGAAGATTTCGGGAGGTTTTAAGCCCGATAAACTTCTTTTCCTGGTGAAAAGGACCATCTCAGTCTTCTTGGGGATTGATCGACAGTGAGTGTTCCTTACACCATGTTTCTATTAATTTGAGCCCATTCTGCACTCTATCGCACAGTGTGTTCACAAATTTGCCGGTCTGCAAGATAACTAGGTATGTTATCTGCATATGCAATTGTGTAGAATCCATTATTGTTGAGGTGATTAATCAGGGTATCCAGAGCTATATTCCAAAAAAAGGGATGATAAGATCCTTCCCTGTGGACATCCCCTCATGACCATGACCAGTCTTCTTTCTGTTAGGACTGGTCATGGTTGAGGGTTAGTACCACCTGAAAAAGCGATGAATGCAATAAGACTGGCGCCATCTATGTGTAAGGCCCGAGACTTTTCAGTCCGTGTAGTATGATAGGTTTATATTTGAAGTCTATCAACTTTGCATTTTCTGGAAACCAAATTTTTGTATTGTTGGCATTTCAAAGCTCCATGTCTCCTAAACGAGTAGATCATTGTATTTTTTTAAATGGAAACTAAGGAATTCAGGAGTAAGCTTACAAATTCTATTGAAACCTTCACCAAAGTTATGTTATCCTCATTGGTTTATTAATTCTATAGGATGATCCAACAGTTCGCTCTCAGTTTCGAAAAAGTCCTGGAAGGATCAGGATCAGACGAAGTAAACATGACTGAACTTTCCGGCGGCGCAAAAATCAACTGTATCTTTCACGAAAAATTCCCCTTCGAAATAGTCAAAATGGAATTCGATGAGAGCGAATTACGCAACGAAATCGCCATCGCTATAGCTAACATTCACGGAATTAGGGTAAGTTCACTCGAGGATAGTAAGCTAGGCCTGGTTCCCACAGCACGATTTTTTTCATTGCAGATTGGTCTGTTTACTCCAGATTTAGCATTTGATGCTATAGTGAAAAAGCAGATAGCACGGCTGAAAGATCCTTGTTTGAAATGTGTCGATATGGTTATAACGGAGCTTCTGAATATCATTCATTCGTGTAGTGAACAGGTACGTTTTTATAACTTACGCCTAATATTCAACCATATTGAAATCAATATGGTTAGAATAGTGCTTATCTATTTATATTTTGATTTTCATGGAATTATTTTTCCAGCAGCTTGACTGCATTAACCTTTCTCGATTTCATATCATTTCTAGAAACATGTGGATTCGTTTTTCGATGGCATTTCAGGTTAGCTTCCCAAATTTCTGCCACCACAGTTGTCGGTTGATTGGTTAAACCACCAACACTGACATAAAAACTTGGCAAGTTGACTTGGGTGTCACGCCAACAGGTGGTTCCACTTATGTCTCGCTTGCGTTTACGCAGTTATATTTATTAAGTACTTATTCACATTTTGTTTTCGATCGAGGACCGCCTGCCCAGTACTGACGATGCCCAATAGGCTGAAACAGCTGTCTACCGGTGGTTCTTAAATTGAAATCAATATGGGAATGATTAGAATAGTACTTATATATGTTGTTTTCTTAATTATTGACCGTAGTTGATTTAGAGTGAGTTTCGGAGAAACGTTGAGAAACTCACAAAATGAACGACGGTCAAGAATCCACAAAATTATTATTCTTTGAGAATCTCTCGAATCACATCTTTATATGGAGTATTTTTCGTTTTAGATGTCTCGGTTTCCACGTTTACGGGAAGTAGTGGAAAGAATTATAAAAACTCATGTCAGGAAAAGAGAACAAGTATGCAGAGATCAACTAGTAACTTATATCAATTGTCAGTTATCTTATATGAACACCAATCACGAGGACTTCATAGGATTTGCAAAGTGAGTAATGGGTCCTTCATAAATATGTATATGTATATGAAGCAGTATAACAAAGTTTATTGATTATTAACATAATAATTATTACACCAAGGTTAAAGTTGTTTTGATGAATATAACAGTGATTGAACTGAAGCATCTGAGAGAAATCCTATAGATATTCGTTATACTCCGATCGATTATTTATTATATATAGACATGTTTAGGAAACAACAAAAATTGAAATAGGTTTAGTAGCATTCTTTGTAGAAATAATATTGATAGAAATAAAGCAGTTATTTACAATCTCTGTAGGGTGCCCATCTGCTGATTTTATCATTCAAGATTGGGTTTTCAATTTTTGTATATCTCTGAAAATACTATACAACTCAGATCGTTACCTCCGGCTGAAGATACAGCAAAATAACATATTAAAAACAGTTTAAACAATACACATTTCAGTTGAGGCTGTTTCTGATGACTTCCGAAGATTACCTAGTTTTTGATGGCCATATGGTAAAACTGAAAGTGCTACGAATTATCGAGGAAACAGGACCCAGCCTCATTTCATCTTTCTAATCCTAACAAGTTCCTGCGTATACATAATCCTCAAAAATAAATTTCATATCCCAACTAACCCCGTATAGCATAATAATGATACAAAAACATAAATAACTAACTGAATGAATAAATGAATGATCCTAATAACAATAAAAACAACACAGTAATGCTAACATGATCTAGTCTGATTGGGGTGACCATTGTCCGGTCACTCGAGCCAGTTAGCCTTTCATCCATGGTAAGCTAACAGCTTACCATTCATCCTTTCCGTTCATCCATTCATTCACAAATCGGATCCATTCGTTTCTCCTTCCATTCTCTTCGCTCAATACAATTTTCCTATTATCCCGTTCCAAGTGTATTTTTTGTATTCATGCGTCATCCAGTCTTGTCGTCATCCATGCATCTTTCAATCACATGCTCTGCCGTTTCAGGCTCTCCCCACCCACAAGGACACGGCAACTCCGGGCCTAACTTAAACCTGGAAAGGTATCTCGAAAAAGTGCCATGCCCGGTAAGCAGATGGACAGCCTTACACGATAGGCTCAATGACTCATACCCGACTGTTCTACATAATCTTTAGAACGGCCGCCCAGTCGTGCTAGCTCTGCTACTCTTTCCTGATGTATTTTCTCTCCTCATTCCTACTATCCATTCTCTTCGTGTCTCAAGTGATATTTTCCCTGGTCATTCCTTTTGCAGCCCCTCACGAGCATTTTTGTTACCAAGATCGTTATTCTCGTTCCAGATGACAGGTCCGTGCTCCCCTTGCACTCCTTTCTTCAATAATACTTTGGATTTTCGCCACCCTTTTGTTATTCACTCGCCCTATTTTCATTTGTTCCACAGCCACGGTAGAATCGCTAATGACTACTACAATCACTCTCTCAATCGCTATCAGTTCTGCCTCATTGACACTGCTCTGTCCGGGGATCCTATTATTCCCCATTCTTCCTCCGGCGTCTACATATACTTCAACCATTCTTTCCTCCTCGAGCAACATGGCTTACAGCCAGGCAAATACCCTGCAGCCAGGCGAATACCCTGCAGCCAGGCGAATACCTTATCTCCTCCTCAATCTTTCTCTCTCTCTCTATTCAGTCTTTATTAATGTCATCTGACCGTCGCTTCGACGTTAAGGGGGCCATACCTGAGATCACACAGCGCAGCCGCCTGAAAGGGCAGACGAAACTTTTTAACAGCAAATTGATTTGAAATTTTTATACAAAACCACGGGAGACTGTGGAATATGAAAGAAATTTTCGAAGAGCACGGACAATGTATTTGAACTTGTCAGACTCCAAAGAAACTTACAGGACGAGTAAAGCCCTGGCGAATGTATCTCAACCCCATTGAAAAGATAATTTATGTAAAAAAACATCAACAGGTTTTCACTAAGGATATCCAAAGCATTTAAGACCCATGTTGATAACCGTCTTCATTACTCTGGTTTCTGTGAGAGGGGTCTATCTTTCTGGAAAGTGTTTCCTTCCTCTGTGGGAATTGGTTGTACCCATGTTTCAGTTGGCAGAGAATACATCAAGTCTTCACTTGACTTTAAGGAGAAAAATATTGCAGAAGTCAAGCATGTTGGCACTATTTTACTGGCTACTTTGATTAATTTTTGGAGTGTTTGATTCACAAATTGCGAAGCTTGCTTAGCAAACAAAAAATCTCGTTCACCCCTAAGCATAACTCTGAAACTATCAAAATTGTCAAATAGTTGTAATCGTCTAGAGGAATCTTTATATATATTCATCTTCTACAAATACACTCCTGAACTAGCTTAGGCCCATCAACTAAAGTTTCAACTCAACATATCCTGAAATACACCTTCATGGATCTGCAGTGAATCAACTCTCTAAAGAAAAAAGCTTTCAGGATTTCAGACGGATTCCAATCTCTGGAATTAGGATGTACGGTGCTATGTATTGAAGTTCACTTTTTTCATGGCCTCGATTCATTGCTTTTGAGCTGGGGATCTATCTCAGTAAGGTTGTGGCCTTGTACCTTCTTTTGGATCTGATATACGGTGCTATTTATTTAAGTTCACTCCTTTTATGGCCTCGTTTCATTGCTTTCGAACTGGGGGTCTATCTCAGTAATGCTTTGGCCTTGTGCCTTCTTTTGGACTTATTTCAAAGGATTCAGGTTGTATGAACAGCATGTTTTATTAAGGAAACTTTGTGAGGAACAACTGAAAATAATCCCAGTTGGCGGAATTACCACAAAAATGTTGTGTATACTTAATAAATTGCTGACCTGGGACGGAAAAATCAAGTTCAGTAACATACTGGAATCAACATTCTGTATTATTTTGATCCAAAGCGTAAGTGATGGCAATTTTTTTGCTTCCAGCTTCTGAATCACCTGCTGTGTAAGAAAGCGTGAATTAAATGATGAATATTGATTCAAGTTTTCATCATACTAGCACAAATCATTTACTCACAAGTGAATACAGCATACATTTAGTATTATGGAGTACAAGCGCTATTAGGAGTGACCTAGGAAAAAGTTAATTGGTCCACAGTTAGAGTTAATTTCAAGTCGATAGGTGTGAAAGAATGTATGTGACAAAATGAATCAAATGTAGAGCAATGTTATAAACATCAACGAAATTTTACTGCCCCAAGATAATGCACATGTAACTCATGCACACTGTAGAACGTTCTTATTGCCTTGTTCACCGCAAAGTTTAAGGCCAAACAATTCAAATATAATCATAAGGTCACCTATCAAAGCTATGAAAGGTCGGATCTTCTTTGGAGTATTGTTCTCATGCATGGAGCTCCGCTCCTGAAGCTGCTGGGTTCTATCCAGAAAAGAGCTATCCACCTGATTAGAGACACAAACATCACTTGCAACCTTGATGGTCTGGAACATCGTAAAAAGGTTGGAGATTTGTCTCTCTTCTATAGATACTTTCACGGGAGGTGTTCAAGTGATTTGGCACACTTGGTTCCACCAAAAGCGATACATATCAGAAATACGCGACGGACTGTGGCTGCTCATCGTTTTGAGGTTCAATTCAGTACACCTCGAACTTCACTGTTTGAGAACTTTCATTTGAAGAACTTCGTTTATGTTTTTCCAAATGGATTTAATCTCCAGCGATTCAAACCCAGCGCGAATTCCTATTTTCGCACAGGCAATATTCTTAGAGCGCCATAATGATTTTCCTGTAGTGCTTGTGTTTTGCTTTTAAAAAAATAGAGGGAAATTGCCTCGAAAACACCCTGTAGAAATAAAAGATAGAATAATGAACTCTCGTGTAAAGCGTTATTTTCCATTATTTTTAAGAGCCTCCGTAGGATGACAACCAATTACTTTCTACATTATTTTATAGTGCAGAGAACCAAGCAAAAAAGTCCACTTCGGTCCACAACGACAATCTGGGCAATCAGGTCATTCGCAAAGGTTACATGATTTTGCAAAACCTCAGTATTATCAAAGGAAGAAGTTTCTGGTTCGTCCTGTCGTCCGATAATCTGGCGTGGTACAAAGACGAAACTGAAAAAGAAATTCAGTACATCCTGCCGCTGAATAAATTGAAGATAAGAGACGCAGAAAGTGGATTCATGACGAGAAAACCGACATTTGCTCTATTCTATCCAAGCGGTGCTAATGTTTACAAGGTATGTTAATAGTGGCTGTAGGATCGTCTTTGGAAATTAAAAATACCTCGAGTTTATGAGAATTTGGGACGAAAATATATTGAATAAAATTTTATTAAATAAGTTTATTACTTATGTATTACTGACGTTACGATAAAATACTAGTAAAATCTTTTTTTGATATCTACTCGGTCCACTTCTTTGAAATTCTTTATGGCAGATGCATGTCAATTGTTTGAAATTTTCATTTTTCATGATAGTGTTGAATATTAGTTTAACATCTGGAATCTTATGCTATTTGATAGGTTATTTTTGTTCAAATAAATCGTACCTATGTAACGGGTGATTTTTTAAGAGGTAGGTATAGGATTTTATTTCCAAAACAACACAAAAAATTTGAAAAAGTTGATGAAATCTTCATTAGTATTGATAGAACGATCAATATAATTTAATGTTTGAAGATGATTTCATGCAAATGTTGTCCGCGGCTCCGCTTTAGATGGCTCATGGGCAAGGTCCAATTTTGGCACACTCTCTCTAACATATCGACTGGTATTTTACGTATAAATGCTTCGATACTGGCTTCCAGAGCGTCAGTCGTTGCTGGTTTATCCCTGTAGACATGTGCCTTAACATGACCCCACAAGAAATAATCCAAAGGCGTTAAATCATATGATCTAGGCGGCCAATTGACGGGCCCCAAACGTGAGATAAACTTTTCACCGAAGGCGGCTCCTTATTGGGTCATTGTTTCGCGTGCCGTGTGGCATGTGGCACCGTCTTGTTGAAACCACATGTCAAGCATGTCCAATTCTTCCATTTTGGGCAACAAAAAGTCGTCAATCACATCACATGGTAGCGCTCGCCATTCACAGTAACGTTCCGGCCATTGTCGTCTTTGAAGAAGTACGGCCCGATGATGCCATCGACCCATAATCCACACCAAACAGTGACTTTTTCGGGATGCATCGGCAGCTCTTGCAATGATTGTGGCTGGTCTTTACTCCAGATGCGGCAGTTTTGCTTGTTAAGGTATCCATTCAACCAGAAATGAGCCTCGTCGCCGAACACAATTTTTCGATAAAAATGAGGATCTTCCTCCAACTTTGCCAGCGCCCATTCACCAAATGTTAGACGTTGTTAGGTTAGGTTAGGTTAGGATTTACACTCAAATCCTTTCGCAAAATTTTCCACGTAGTGGAGTAACAGAGGCCCAATTGCTGCGAACGGTGGCGAATCGACATTTCACGGTCATCACGAACACTGGCGGATACAGTCGCAATATTTTCTTCGATCCTCACTCTACGTATGCGTGTTGGTGTGTCCAATAATGTAAACTGGGTTCGAAATTTAGTCACAAGCTTCCGAATATCTCCCTCAGTAGGCCGACGAAACTGCCCATAAATTGGAAGAAGTGCACGATGCACTTTATTCACCGAGCATGAATTTTGATAATAAAATTAAATCATTTGCAAGCGTTGTTCATTCGTAAGTCGATTCATGGTTAACTTATAGACCAAACTGAACAAGTTTGACAATGACACGATTCACGCGTGATCTGTCAAAAACAGTGTTGCCAAAAAGATACCAGCAAAAATATCACTCATTACATGTATATAAATATTGAAAATTTTATTAAAACAAGATAAAAATAAAATAAAAACAAAAATAAAAATGAATTGGCGCTCCGAGGCGACTTCATTGATTCCAGTGGCGCATTTGCTTTTTCAGCTGCAGAAAAACCTGCAGCACCACATCATCTGAAGATCTTGATCTAACAATGTCCTCTCTCTTATAAAACAAAATGTAGGGTGTCTCCAGAGGCTCCAATAAATTAAATGCATCGCCAGAACTCTTCGTGTATATAAATTGTTCAAATATCACATTGATATCCCACTTTTAATTTTTGAAATAGCGTGGATTAGGAAAATAATTGTTTCCTTAATTTTTGCAACAATAAAACGGTTCTTCCAACTGCAAAATATTGTAACATGTCAACTGGTTGTGTCACTATTGTTACGTTTTTCCACGTGGGTTATCCAATAATTGACTACATTGAATAATCAAACTCAACTTTATTTCACTTCAAATACAACAAACAGTTCAACAAAAACTTCAACTAATATTTGAATCTCTATCGCCTTACTAGATCACTTCGCGTACCGCACTGTAACTTCCGCTTGACTCTGTCGATATGCCTCTGGCTAGCGTGTATATATCGTAATCGAATACAGTAGAAATTCCGCCGAAGTTCCCTCTTAATCGGTAGCATTATTCTTGCTGCCTCTAGAGCGGCAGGGAACATCGTATATTCGAGCACTCTTAGCTACGTCACGATAATGGCATGGCTACTAGAAACTTCCAAATGAGTGTCATTTTATCAGTGGAATATAAATTAGCTCACGTACATAAACGTTTACAGGCCCGTGAGGAGAGAATTGATTAAAGATTTGAGGATACCATGAAAGCTTCCTTTGTAATAATTTCAATATGTAATTTAGATGTATTAACACCAATAACCATAGTCAGCAAGTATAAGGTTAGCTAGTTTTGTTCTAATGCTATGATATTTTCCGGAGAGGTGCATATGAAATGACAAGTTCCTGTGAAAGTATCAAACGATTAACTCTCATGTGAGACATTCCATTTTGTAGGTATAGTTGAAGTAACTGGTATTGTGCATACCTAGTGTCGGCGCCCTCAAAGACCAAAAAAACCAATACAAAGAAATAAAGCCGCTGCCAACTAGTCCACGTAGACTGAAGAATTGGCGGTTCGTATTGAATAATTTTTACTAACCGAGTTTTATGATCGGCTGAAGAGTCATAAAATTAAAATTTGTAGTCATGTAACGGTGACGAAAAAAATGCGAGCCGTCGTGTTATCAATGTTCAGTTTAGATCGCGATTTAAGTGTTGAAATTCGATCTTGGTGCAGTTATAATTACCAAAAATGTTTGTTATCTGTTTAAAATGTGGTATCTTTGGACAAGTACTAATAGTAATAACGAGTGGGATAACAACGCAGATTTTTTCCTGTGTAGTGATTCAAGTAGCGATGATGAACAATGCGAAAAAGAGATACCAGTGAATAAGCTTCGGATGCATTTGAATATTGAAACACATAGAATTTCGGTTCACTTCCGTCTGAAATGACCCACCCGGCACTGACGAAGAGCTAGTACTCCGAAACCGATTTGTCGGTGGTCATCCCGACCAAATGGAATCAATTTTAGCTTTTCTTGTACAGGAAGTTACTTGCGCCGAATTTTCCGAATAGAAGACGTTGCAAAGGTGCCTGGTGGTTTCATTTCAGCTTTCTGCGAGGCATTCACGATTGTTTTTGCTGTCTACAGGAAACAAAACAAATGATCCACTTTTAAAGGGAATTTTTAATATAAACAAATGTCTTTCGAACACTTCTCCAACCCCACAGAACTATATTCCTTTCGTACTTCTTTATATTTAAAAAAGGGTTTCTGCCAACCAATGAACCCACTATAATTAGTTCAATAAAGATGCCCCTGCTATGTGAAATTATTATTCATTGCAATTTCATATTTTCGAATATATTTTTTAAGGATTATAAACAATTGGAATTGGGTTGCAACTCAATAGATGACATGGACTCATGGAAAGCATCTTTTCTGAGAGCAGGTGTTTACCCAGAGAAATCTTTGAAGAATGGAGAACCAGAAGAGCAATATGAGGTAAAAATTGTTGTCTAGTTGAACCATCAAATGATTTTTTTCAACTTATTCTCAATTAGAAATTCTCATAGATAACTGTGTCATTGATTTTCAGGTGGTTCAAGAAATAGACCCCCAACTCAAGAGACAAGTGGAAATAATAAGAAATCTAGTTGACAGCTACATGTCAATTGTAACCAAATCTACCAAAGATTTAGTCCCAAAAGCCATTACTTGTATGATTATCAACAATGCCAAAAAATATATTTTTGAAGAACTCCTGATTCATGTTTATGCTCACGAAGACCAGGTAAGATCCATAAAATAGTCTACAGTATTGGAGGCTTACGTCATCAACATTTCAGATGGATTTATTAGAAGAATCCCCGGAACAGGTTAAAATGAGGGAAGAGAAAATGGCGATGTTCCAAGCGTGTAAATCCGCTCTAGATATTATAGGAGATTGTTCCATGAATATATCGACCAAAGGAACGAGGGAGGTAGAAAACGAGAGAATATATTCATCGAAACCAACAACGGCGGGGCCTACGTCTTATGCTACAAAGAAAAGTAATATTTTTGAACAATAGCAGTTTGCTTATATTGGCTTTCTACTACTCAATCTTGATACAAAAAATGCGAAAATTGTCAAAAAAAAAGGAAGGAAGCAATCAATTTAAAAAAGAAGTAACTCTATACATAGATGTGTAGATCATAATAGTCTATATTTATGACGTCTATTCGTTAAAAATAACAATGTGTGGGCATGACAATCTGACAGGCCCACACATCTGACAACTATGAACTTAATGACTAATAATTTTGCCAGAGTTTTCTTAGAAACAAATTGAAAATTCAATCATCATAAAATAAATTGTACTAACTCATTAAATGGACATTTAATGAACTAATTACCATTTTCCACAGTAGAAAACATATTCAACAACGGGGAGGAGTTTGGTTCTATTTGGTGAATTTTCCAAATTTTCAAATCTATTAGTATCCAAGCATTCCAAAAGATTGAGTTCCAAATTTTTCTCTTCCAAATAGAATACGTTATTGTTATTTTTGAACTCATACCCCTTTGCCAAAAGATGCTTTGCAAATATGGAATTGGTCTTCACATTCAAGAAACTACTCCTGTGTTCGTTTATTCCTTGAATAAATGTTCTACCCGTTAGTCCACTATGAAGTTTTGGTCAAAAACCACAAGTCAACGTTTATACTCGTGATCTATTCGAAAGTTAAGTTTTTTTTAATCGTTTTCAATGAATTATCACAACACAACAAAAAAATATTTTTTGAATGTTTCCTACACTAAAATACTCAATTCCAACTAATTTTGAGGTGATAAAAACGAAAATAACAATGAAAAAATTTTATTAGCTCTGGTTTTTGAGATACACAGTACTTAATCTTAAAGAGTAGTTATACTATACGTGAAAAGTGAAAGTACATAAAACAAAAATGTTTTACATTTATTTTGTTACATCCTGTATAGGTCTGACAGATATCTGATGTAAAAACAATAAGTGACCTAGTGAATGCGCAAAAAGTACAAGTTGAACACAGACATGTATGCAACGTCTTCATTTTGTAAGAGTCGTCGCAATTAACTTCCTATATATAAATAGCCGAAATTAATTTTACCTATTTGGTTGGGATGACCACTGACAGGCAAAGTCCATCAGTGCCGGGTGGGTCAGTTCAAATAGAATGAATCGTCTGAGTATCCCCAACACACATTGTTCGTCGTCGTGATTTCAAACAGGTTGGAGCCTGGCTCCCTTACCCTTTCAACTGATGTTTCTCAGAAGGACAAACTCCCCAACACACAAAAATCTTCCAACTAGTCATAAGCTTCGCCTGCAGCTGATTTGGCAGGCTGGACACCCCGCCACCTGCAGTCAAAGTCCGGAAGCAAGTTCACGAACACACTTCGGGTGGGAGTCAGAAACATAAATACTCTTATATTTCGGAGAGGTGCATACGAATTGCTCAAATTCTGGTGAAAATAGGCCCTTAACTCTCATATGAGACCTACGATTTTGTAGAAATCTGTGGCAGATACCTGACAGAAAACGACAACTAGCCCAGCTAGTGTCCAAATGTGCAGGACCCGAATTTGCTTGTGAAAAATATCTACTCCAAGGTCATAGTACATTTTCTCTAACCTAGTGAAGACCTGATCGGCGCAGTGGTCAGTCTGCGATTACCTTCGTCAGGTATGTAAGTAATAGAGCTTGGCTCCTGTGACGCTTTTTGATGAGATGCTCTTTCATGGCTACAGGGTATGAACTGCACCCTACAGCCAGAAGATGCTCTCTTGATCCTCTCAGGTAACCTGCATCCGTCCAGGTCAGAATCTGCAGGTCTGGAATCGTGCCTGTGTATCTTCTTCTGAAAAATCATCTACGGCAGCCGTAATGGTATACTGGAGAGATTCCAGGTGATTGGTCTATATTGAGTTTGATGGATGTTCAAGGTGCAAGATTCCCACCTTAACAACAGCAACCTTGATGACCTTAACGACCTCCTGCTGCAGATTCTGCTTCTGCTGGAATTTGGTGAAAGCTACTTTTGAAGAGGTCATAAAAGTGGCTTAAAAACGACAACTAGCCCAGCTAGTGTCCAAATGTGCAGGACCCGAATTTGCTTGTGAAAAATATCTACTCCAAGGTCATAGTACATTTTCTCTAATCTAGTGAAGACCTGATCGGCGCGGTGGTCAGTCTGCGATTACCTTCGCCAGGTAGGTAAGTGGGTTGGATGTTCAAGGTGCAAGATTCCCACCTTAACCACAGCAACCTTGATGACCTTAAGGACCTCCTGCTGCAGATTCTGCTTCTGCTGGAATTTGGTGAAAGCTAGTTTTGAAGAGGTCATAAGTGGCTTCCACTAGTTGAAAAACTGAAAAACTCATGCTCTCCATTCGATTTTACAGGGTGGACAATTGTGGTCGTTTAATCGATGTCAATCTCATCTGTAGACCCATGGTCGGATTCTTCAGTTACTTCATGGATTATAAAGGATCCCATGAGTAGCTGGGGAAAGAAGGTCCATCACGGCATCTATACCGTTACAAGGCTTTCTACGACGAGATGACACCCGTTATTGACACTGGGTGCGATCAGTATGATACCTCAACGTGAGGAATAATTCAGGAGGACTCTTACCCCAGGGAGGAATTCACAGTATGGATACTTGTATGTTTCAATAGAACAAACAGCGCCTTATTCTTAATAATTGTCGACAGACAGGTACAAATTGGTCATAGTCATTTCCAATGGCATTATTAAGACTTGTTTTGACGACTCCTGCTTCATGAGTTACCTGTCATGAAGTAGGAGTAGTAACTCTTGATAATTCAATATGAGATGCAACACCTCCGAACCAAACTGAGTTGACCAGATAAATTACTTGACACATTTGAGGCCAGTCGCAGTTGAGCAAATTGATTACTTTATACTTGTTTGAACTATCTTCCTTGGCAATTGAACCTCGAGAGTTTACTTTCTTCTAAATTGTTGTCAAACGTCCTACTCAATCATTCACCCCTCCAGAAATTTTGAATGTGGCAAATCTAACGACTTCTGATCTGTTATGAACGAGTCTTTGGCGAAAGAACAAGAGAGTGAATTTGTTTTCGGAAAATGCTCAAAATAATCATTGTTAAGAAGTACCATTCTCATCAACATAAAACGTAATCCAAATTACGTGGCTTTTTGAAACACAAATCTGGTAGCATACCTATACAAAAAAGAGCAAAACTCCATCCCAAAAGAAATAAAGTCAATAAATATTTATAGAAGCCACACTAAAGCTTGCGACGAGGGTGAGAAATTCATACTTATTTTACAAAAAATACGTCACTTCTTAACAAAATAAGATTATGTAATGGAATTGGCCGATGAAAATCCATGATAACATGTTTTGTATTGTCTTCATTATCCCAAGAAACATTAAATGTTTATGAATGGGGAATAACTGAATCAACTAAAGATGGATATCTCTCAAATACTTTCACCATCAACGCTGGTGTTCCGCAGGGATCCATATTGTCTCCAATCCTCTTTTTATTGTATAGAAACGACTTATTATTATTGCTTTGCTGGCCATAGCCTGCCATCGGTTTTCTCCAAAAAGATAAATGTTTTCGAACCGGAAATAATAATGTCAGGTAAGACAATTCCGCTTTCTGCTTCGATAAGTTTATTGGGGGGTTGTAATGGACACCAATATGTCTTGGCACAATCATGTCGCTGGAATTGCAAAGACTGCTTCTCAAAAGCTTGGAACACTGTTCCAAACCAGAAAACTGTATACACCTCAGCAACTTTTGATACTTTATAAAGCTCAGATCAGACCTTCTTTGGAGTATTGTTCTCATGTATGAAGCTCCACCCCGAAACATACTCTGAAGCTGCTGGATTCCATTCTGAAAAGGGCCATCCGCCTGATTGAAGACGTGAATATCACTTGCAACCTTGATAGTCTGGAACATCAAAGATAGGTTGTAGATTTGTCTCTTTTCTATAGATACTTTCACGGGAAGTGTTCAAGTGACTTGGCACATTCGATTCCACCAAGAGCGATACATATCAGAAATACTCGGCGTAGGTACTGTGGCTGCTCATCGTTTTGCGGTTCAACTCAGGACACTTCGGCATTTTCTATGTCGGAGTGCATAATTTGGCTCTCTTATTGTTTTGTACATTATTTCCATCCCTTGTCTTTTTGTCTAGGCTGACACCCTTGCTTACAAAATCAGGGTCAATTTTTTCCAGGAATCCCTAACCCGCTTCGTACTGTTACAGTACCCTGGATGTGACAGGAAAAATTTTCAATGATTTTGTACTTTCATGTTATAGTTTTTTCAGAGATTTGCCGAACTGACATTTTGGTTAAAGATTGTAAGCACAGAAGGGATCAGACTCTCAAGTACTAATAGCAGGTACCTGTACACTTATAATCAGTAATTAAAATATTCATTTTGTTATTTGCATTCATTGGTATTTCAAAATATCTTGAATGAAATGAATAAAAAACATTTTGGTGTTAGATTTTATTTATACGACGGGTTTCGGGTTTGACCCCATTATCAAGTAGGTATAAAACTCGTATAAATAAAATCTAACAGTGGTATTTAGACAAAAGTGTTTTTTATTCATTTCATTTAAGTGATCATGAATTACCATAAAGTAAACAAGTCATCAATCACACATATTTCAAAATATCTTTCCAGATTCTGAGAAAAGTTATTATCTCTACCTGCTGATTTGTGTTAGTTATATTTGTTCTAAAGAAAAACTATAATTGCTTTGTTGAGCTCAAATTCTACGTGGAATTCAATGTTACAACTTGTTGCTGAAACATTTTTCATTTTCAGAGATGTACCTCACCTGGCACAATAATTGATGTAATGCAATGTTGATGTTTCTGTATCCTGTCCTGTACTCCTGCGTGTACAACTGAAAAAGAAAATTAAGAAAAACCTTTTGATGGAAAAATTGTTATTTAATTTCTACTATATGCTTTCAACTTCAAATGTTTTCTTCTTATCACAATACATTTTTTGGATGTCACATGTCACATTCTCTATGTTGGTAAATGTCCTTATAGGACGAAACTGCAGTAATGTTAGTTGCAAATAAAAGTGGTACAAAAACATAGAAAGTTTCAATTCTGTTTTCTTCATTGCCAATATTCGGCGAACAATCGCCCCACTCTCGTATCGGTCATTTTCAGTGCTAGTCCGGTTCTGGGACAAAAATTATTGGTTCATCAAAATTTTAGTTTTCGAAGAATATCGTGTAGTTCACTTACATTCATCTAGCATTCGACTTAGTTCTGTGTTTGGTAACGTTCTGACAAGTTGTAATCATTTTATAACAATTTCATGAAGATTAAGGAGGAATGAAGGGGCGGTCCTGACCTGGCAACTTCATACTCATTAGGCACTTATGCAACCAGTAATACTTTAACCCATACAAGATGCGCATGCGTCCTGATATTGACATGAATGATTATATTTGAAAATTCTTACCATCTTATAATGAACGTAATGGATTTCTGATAACGAATTTTCGAGGCGCACCATAACAACATTTTTCCAATATTAAAAAAAAAGGAAGTACAACATTACAATAAAGTTGCTTTGGTATAATATATGACTTTGGATATCTCTATGACTCATGCGCAGATGGGCCACTCGATTCATTCTGATCATTACCTCGGCCATGTTCGTTAATATTTTTCAGAAGTGGTGAAGTTTCGGATTGTTTTCTTGAAAAGAATATTCCAAGTTCCGGCCTAAAAATGGCAGGGAATACCGGAATGGAGCAGCTTATTCCAATTGTGAATAAGCTGCAGGATGCTTTCACACAACTGGGTGTTCATATGACTTTGGATTTGCCACAAATCGCTGTAGTGGGCGGACAATCCGCTGGAAAAAGTTCGGTTTTAGAGAATTTCGTTGGAAGGTAAGAGAACCGAAGAATTAGTCATCAGGACAAAGTTTCGAGTTAATGGGTACCCCAATTATGTATTGATTGAGCATGTGAATCAATTTCTATTTGACTTTTGACATATTGACCTGGCTATTGACCATTTCAAAAATTTTACACTATTTTATTCATTTCAGTGTCAAATCCTGTATTTTTAGTTATATCTACCACCTGGTTTCATATGTGATTCACTTGAAATGTGGGTTGACTATTGATTTTATTTCAGAAGATTTTTGATAAAGAGGTGAATGACACACTTATCTGTTTTCAGAGACTTCCTTCCTAGAGGATCTGGAATTGTTACTCGAAGGCCACTCATTTTGCAGCTTATTAATGCAAATACTGGTAAGAATCATAATTGAAACATTTTTTAGTTCCTGATACTGATTGTCATTGTCCTGGAAAAAAGGAAATGAAAGCAACAATGTATTCAGCACAGTTTTGTAAAATAGAGGTCTATTGAAACAGTTTCTTACTTCTTGACAACATTCGCACACTGATTGTGATATTAATAAGTATGTCATCTAATTGTTCTTTGATTTAAAGGCATTTGATATAGTGAATTTGGAATTTCTTGTAAACGAAGAAAATTGTAGTTTTTCATCATAAATTGCATCAAATCTATGAATGTCTCTTGTAATAATGCACTACTTCATGCTCAAGAAAGACCTGTTATTAGAACTTTACTCTTTTTTTTTATATGTTAACAACATAACTGCGCATATGCACAATGCTGGTGATGCTGACATTACTTCATCCGACTCAACTTTTCAATAAAAAAAAATCGAATCAATATACATGACTTCAGCAACTGATGTGAAAGAAATAAACTAACTTCAAAAATCGGTGGCTACGAAGATCGATAAAACATCGTAACTCTAGGACGTGATTGAAATTGGTGATATGCAAATGTGCACAGAAATGAAATACCTAGGAACCCATCTCAAAGTTAACCTGACAGGAAAAACAGCAATCATATATATGAAAATCTAAAAAAGATTCCGTTATGCTCTACAAAGGATAAAGTCCAGTCTAGATGAAGTTTACCCCCTTAATATATATTATGCAGTGGTTTCCTCTATGATCAGGTAGACCATAACCAAGAAAGATACATGAGATGTTTTAGTAACTACAATATTGAGAAATTTTCTAGTTTACTGTGGGAGGAGACTGATTGGTCTTCAGTGTATGACTCAGTTGGTGCAAATTCTAAGTTTGATAGTGTCTATAATACAGTTTCCTATTATTTTCACACTTCATTTCCAAAAAAGTTAGTGAAGATCAAAAAATCTGTGGACTCCAGGTGGATAACTACTGAATTGAGAGAAATTAGTAGAAGGTTTACTGAGTTATCTGAGCTGAACAAAGTATATAAAAACGGTTTATATCAGGGGGAATATCAAGAACTTTAAACAGTAGGTATATCAGGCTAAATTGAAACATGCTTAAAAAAAACTTGCAAAAATGATAGAATCTCTTCTGCTGAAGATAAGATGAGAAAATCCTGGAAAATCATCAAGGAAGCTCAGAATGGTTATACTAGCAATGCCATACCTTGTCTACAAAGTGCTGAAGATGGTGACATTCTTTCTGATGATTTTGCTATATGCAACCTTGTCAGTGATTATTTCTCAACTACCAGTAGTAGCATATCCAAACCAGACACTAAAAATATCAATTATATGTCATCTGCTCATCAAAGTATTTATTTATATCCAGCAACTAAAATGGAAGCTTAACAAGTTATCAAAAAAGTTTGTGAGAAAAAATTGTCCGGAATTGATGAAATTCCTGGTAATGTTTTTAAAAAGGTTGCCAGTGTGATTTCTGAGCCTCTGACTCATATAGTTAACTTCACTTCCATTGAGGAGAGGTTTCCTGATATACTGAAAATGTCAAAAGTTGTGTCAATATACAAAAATAAGGGCTCTTGGTCTGACTGTACATATATCGCTACTTAGTCAGTTTTCTAAGATTATTAAATACTGTTTCTATCAAAGATTATACGATTACTTTGAATCGCTTAGATTATTTTCTTCTAGTCAGAATGTTTATAGAAGAAACAAATCTACAGTTGGTGCAATTGATCAATCAACTCATTGAACATGCGCTGGAAATCTTGGAAAACAAACGGCAGATGTTAGGATTATTTTTTGATTTGAGCAAAGCCTTTGACCTCGTTGACCATGATATACTGTTACACAAATTGCAGTTTTATGGTATACGTGGCTCCGCATTGAATTGGTTTGGATCTTACCTGTCTGATCGTAGTCAGCTATTATAGGGGAATGAAATGAATTCTGAAAGAAAATGGTCCGAAGTAATTATCAAAGCTAATGAAGTAACTGATCAAATTTCTGAGTGGTGTTCTATAAATGACCTGCTACTAAATTCTGCTAAATCTCAAATGCTCAACTTTGTTACTAAAAATACAACAATTATTTGGTTAGATTAAATAATGAATAACGAAACTTTACAACAAGTTAATTGTACAATTCTTAGGTGTTTGTATTGATAATAAACTTACCTGGAAGTTCCACGTTGATAGTGATAGTTGAAGCTTTTATACCACATTTTCAATTCAACTAACCATCAAGAACAGTTTTCTCTTAACGTGTGGCTCGGAGTTATTGGGGAGCATTTAACTGAAACATATGCAAATCAGCGGATAGGTCGAGGAGGACCACAGAACTGTCCCGCTCGATCCCCGGATCTCAATCCTCTCGATTTCTCTATTTGAGGCCATTTATAGCATTTGGTTTATCATACTCCTGTTCGCGATAGCGAAAGTCTACTAATACAGCAATGTTTTCATTAATGAATCAAATAATCACACATATTGATGCAGATAATTGTCCGGCAGTACTTCTGTGAGATTTGAGCCGTGCATTTGACTGTGTTAATAATGAATAATGTTTTCAAATAACATTGTTATTTGTACTATGACACTTTTAACCTTTACTCTTAACCTTTAAATTTACTCTCATCATTTGCCCTAACGCTCCAAAAGAGGTATAACTTCAAAAAGTCTCTCACTTGTTTTCTTCAGCTCTGTATGATGGAATTAAAAAACTACGACTAGTGCTTAAGGTTTCATCATAATAATTTTAATAATAATATTCATTTCACAGAAATACTTTGCATGTTATAAGACATATAAAATATAAAAGTGAAATTTCTTTACGTACTTTTTATATTTGATGGAAAGTAACTGTCAACGGATGAACGAAAAAATTCACTAGCTTTTGTTTACGAGTGCTGCTATCTTCGTGTTGAAGTTGGAAACTTTCCAGATCACTCTCGTATTATCATTTTTTATAATGTTAACATATCATTACCATATCTGTTAACCAGCTGTTGCTCTCATTCAAACGACAAATCTCAGAAGTCCAAACTGGTGCTAGCTGAGGATTAACGAGGTCTTGGTTTTTAACATGTGATTCCCAGCTTGGGTTGGACGATAGCATTGAAAATAGATTACCTGGTCGTAGGACTCGAACCACTTTCCACATAGCGGTCAACTGAATGAGTAGAAGAAACCGTCAATGTCAACCCAACTAGCTACTGGACCACCCAATCTTTCACTAAATTTCCCTCAATTTTGTGATACATATCTTTGTTTAAATCAACAATTTTTGTAGAATATGCGGAATTTTTACACTGCAAAGGAAAAAAATTCGTGGATTTTGAAGAAGTTCGCAAGGAAATCGAGGCTGAAACAGACCGAGTCACTGGAAGCAATAAGGGTATATCAAACATACCCATTAACCTGAGGGTATACTCTCCAAACGGTATGTACACCATATTAATGAGAACTTTATTTCCCAAAAAATCAATCACTCCTGAAAAACAAAACCCTTTCAATTGATAAGAACTTTTATTTACATTTTCTCACTACCTTTTCAGTTTTAAACTTAACATTGATCGATTTACCTGGCTTAACCAAAGTGCCGATTGGTGATCAACCAATTGATATTGAGCAACAAATCAGAGCGATGATTCTCCAGTTCATCAAAAGAGAATCGTGTCTGATTCTGGCAGTAACTCCAGCTAATACGGATTTAGCTAATTCTGATGCGCTTAAATTGGCCAAAGAAGTTGATCCTCAAGGTAGGTCTCCCTATACGAATGATGAAGCACCTATACCAAATAATGTTTCATATTCTAGGTATTCGTACAATAGGTGTTATCACGAAACTAGATCTTATGGATGAAGGCACAGATGCCCGTGATATTTTAGAAAATAAGCTCTTACCCCTTCGAAGAGGGTACATCGGTGTGGTTAATCGTTCCCAAAAAGACATTGAAGGTAGAAAAGACATAAACGCTGCCTTGCAAGCGGAAAGAAAATTCTTTTACAGGTGAACAATGCGTAATGTATTTAGTATTGGAAAATGAACTCGTAACTTTTCAGTCATCCGTCGTATCGACATATAGCGGATCGTTTAGGAACACCCTATCTTCAAAGAGTGCTCAACCAACAATTGACAAATCATATTCGAGACACGTTGCCCAGCTTGAGGGATAAATTGCAGAAACAGTATCTGACTCTAGAGAAAGACGTGGATCAGTTCAAACATTTCAGACCCGACGACCCGGCTATTAAAACAAAAGCTATGCTCCAGTGAGTAGAACAGGACCTTAGTTAGTATTTCCATTCATTTTTTTCCTCTCAGGATGATACAGCAGTTGCAAGTAGATTTTGATAGAACGATAGAAGGTTCCGGCTCAGCTCAAATCAACACGATGGAATTATCAGGTGGTGCTAAGATCAATCGGTTGTTCCACGAGCGATTTCCCTTTGAAATAGTCAAAATGGAGTTCGACGAGAAGGAGTTGCGGAGAGAAATTGCCTTTGCAATCAGGAATATCCACGGTATCAGAGTGAGTGTGATATAGTTTGGGTTGGTTCTCCACGAATGACGTTTTCCTTGTTAGGTTGGATTGTTTACTCCAGATATGGCGTTCGAAGCAATAGTTAAAAAGCAGATATCCCGCTTGAAAGAACCGTCACTCAAGTGTGTGGATTTGGTTGTACAAGAATTATCAAATGTCGTTCGAATGTGTACAGATAAGGTGAGATTGCTTCTTTTTTTCTATTTATTTTTTTTATCGGTCAAGTACACTACAGAATTATTATAAAATCCCAAATGGTACATCAAGAAAGTTTCAATTGTTGAAACCAGTCAAGCATTAGAGTTGAGTTATGAACCCAACAAGTAAGATCCTTAATATAAACTATTGTAATTGCTTAAAAATAAATGAAACTATTTATTTTTATTAGTCCAGTAGTCCAGTGTACGGCAAACTATAAAATATGACAAATGAAAAAGATCAAGTTCTGAAAAGTATGTATTACATTTTTTTTGAAGCCTACAACTTATTGCCATCGAGTCATAGTTAGTCTTGTGGAATCGCAACCCAAATGAAAAAACGTGATTGCTTCTTAAGGATCTTGAGTTAATAGAAAGGCAAAGGTCATCTAAAATGACTGAACAATTGTAGTGGAAGTTTATTATTTTATAAAGGAATAGAACCATTGCAAGTTTACGTTCCAAAATACTCCAAACCAGTAAAAAGTATAATGACTTTATAGCATCATATTCTGTAATATGGCGGGTATTCCTTTTGATGAATCCGAGCATTCTGAATGCTTTATATCAGATATTATTGACATGATCAATAAAGCTTAGATCTTTATCGAAAGTAATTCCCAAATCGCATAAGCTTTTGACAGTTTGAAGAGTAACATCATTAATGGAGTAGTTTCCAATGACAGGCTGTCTTATTCTATAAAATCTCAACACATTACATTTCTCAACGTTAACTTTTAGACAATTAGTATCACAGTAGGTACAAAAGCTATCCAGGTCATTCTGAATACATTCAATATCATTGGTGGATTGCACTGGTCGTCCACATACAGAGAGATATTATAGTGTTTAAACACTGATTTAACATCATTAATATAGAGTAGAAATAATATAGGCCCAATGTGCGAACCTTGCGGAACCCCTGAAGTCACATGAATTGTTTCTTGACTAATAGAATACTATACTTATTTGACTACATTATACACAGCTGCATATTTATAGCAAATCACAAAACAAAAATATCGATAAAAGTATGGTCGACTATACAACAAGTATATTAAAATTGGATTACCTAACCTTGTTTTGTGTACAATTGAGGACAGGCAGCCACATTTAATTATTGTTCATTGCCTAATCATTTCTATTGAAATTATCCCTGTGTTTCTAAATTTTTATTGCCTCTCCTCTTGGATAGTCATTTTGAGTTTTATTGAGTATTACTGTATCTTTGAATGGACAAATGTGAGTGTCTTCTTTGAGAGCATATTCTGCTACAGCAGATTTATCGGTTTATCCGTGGCGATAATTTCTCATGTGTTCAGCGAGACGGGTAACTATGCTTCTTTTCGTAGTTTCAATGTAGACTGACACGCAGCTACAAGGAATCCGGTATACACCGGGAGGAAAGCTTTTCCCTTGACGAGTCTAACTGGGATTACTTTGCAGTTCTCTCTCCTGGATTGTATGTCCCGCCCAAATTCTACTTCTTTGAATGACACATAGTTTTTATTCTCATCAGTGGATCTCTCTGTGCTCTGAGTTCATTGTTGAACTAAATTACTAATTTGTATTCTTCTATTCTTCAGCTGATTTAGGGGTTTCCCATTACTTTGTTCTTGGGCCACTTACTTGACAAATGTGAATATTGTATTTTTCATCAATGCTAGAATAACTGGTTATGTTAGGTCATGTCCAAAGTGAGTGGGTCTATTTGACCCTCCACCGCAACCCGCAAGGGTTTATTGTGGCTCACACCTATTCACCCCAAATAAACCCAGCTTTTAAAACCTCATTCGGTCCCCGGCGGGGCAGGCACAAAGTATATGCTCTGCTGTTTCATCGTTAATGAGGTAGTCGGATAGTCAAGGTGCAAGATTCCCACCTTGATCCCATATGACTGTTTTTGCACGTCAGCTATACCTGACGATGCCACATTACCGTGACAAGGCGATGCTACGACGACAGGGCGCCCGGTATCTCGAAGGTTCCGTAGAAACAGCTGATAGGCCCAGTGTCATTCATCCTCTTGGTACAGATACATACACCTTAGGATTAAGCCTTCGTTGGGATGCCGTTCAGTTAGGGAATAAAGGAACCACAAGTGATTCTGTCATTCCCATATCAAGTGGGGCTATGTGGAAGCAGGCATCCGATGGCCGGTTTGCTCAACTCCCACGTCCCAAGCCAATACACTCGCCAAAAAGAGCATGCACAGTGGTTCAGGCAGTGAAAGATGAACAAGAACAGACAACCCGCACTTGCAAGACTTAAAAATGCCCTGTACAGAGGCGTATTATTACGTGTCCTCCAATGCTGTTGGCGTCTGTCATTGTCTTTAATAACTTGTGTTGTTTCTGAAAAAGTGTCATCGCTTTACAAAAAACCAGTCATCAAGAGTCAGGCACGTGAAATAATTTTTAAAGTGTTCAATTATTTTCAAAGTGTTGATATGAATGTGTAAATATGAAAACGAATTACAAAGAAGTTATGTTCCATTTGCTATCCTAATTAAAAAATAATTATAGGTATGACACAGGCCGGCAAGGGGCTTATCGTAATCCAATAGTAAATTAATTGCCGAATCGTTCAGTGTAAGACACCCGGGAGAGATTGATATACAGAATTTTGTTTATTAGTTTTTGAAAATAACGTTTAAATATGTTTCAGATGTCAAGGTACCCTCGTTTAAGAGAAGAAGCAGAAAGAATCATAACTACTCACATCAGACAAAGAGAACAGTATTGTAAAGAGCAGCTCTGCTTACTCATCGACTGTGAATTAGCATATATGAACACCAATCACGAAGACTTTATAGGATTTGCAAAGTAAGTACACATCGGTGAAGGAACTGCTACAAGTGCTGGCATATTTGAAACAGTTCATCACACAGACGAATTTTTTAGTGCTCAAAACCAGTCGGAAAGTGCCACTGCCAAAGGTACTCGTGGTACGCTCGGTAACCAAGTCATTCGTAAGGGTTACATGTGCATTCATAACTTGAGTATGTTGAAGGGTTCGAGGGATTACTGGTTCGTTCTCACTTCTGAGAACATTTCGTGGTACAAGGACGAAGAGGAACGGGAGAAGAAATACATGTTGCCTTTGGATGGACTCAAATTGAGAGACATCGAACAGGGCTTTATGTCGAGAAGGCATATGTTTTCTATTTTCTTTCCGGATGGCAGAAACGTGTATAAGGTGAGGGTTGGCTATTGTTGGAGTGGGAGATTTGTTTTTTTAATGGCCTCGTAACCATACGTTGAGAATCATTCTGTTTTCAGGACTACAAGCAACTTGAATTGAGCTGCGAAACTTTGGACGAGGTTGACTCGTGGAAAGCTTCTTTCTTACGTGCTGGTGTGTATCCAGAAAAACAAACTGAAACTTTGAATGGGGAAGATGTAAGTGTTTCTCGTTTGTTTGTTTTTTGCATTATGCATGATTTTAATTATCCACTGAATACAATACACACAAACACAGCTTTTTTTCAATATTAATTGTTTTTATTTCTTTTGTTTTAGAGTAATCATTCTGATGTAAGTTATTTTCAAATTGAATTATGTGGTACGGTAATTGGTTTCTTTTTGGTAGTTATGCTTATTTGCTTCTCCTTTAACAAGGGTATAGACACTTGGGGCATTTGTAATGTGTTTGAATTTTCTGAAACATTGATTTCATAGAAGAGATAAATCAAGAGATGGGGTCTCATCTTTTTAAAAGTAGTTTCCATTGCTACACATTCAACAATTTTAACAACAGCACTTTCAACGTCCTCGCGAACCACCATTTACCATTTTTTGCTCCATATACAGTGTCACCCCTAAAGTATGCACCATATGGGAAACTTGTTTATTAAGGGTTTTTCCACAAAAAGTTATTCCCGATGAAAGTTTGTGCATCCCCTGAAAGTAAACATGCACCAACTAAATACAGTAAAACACAAGCAATTTTATTTCATCTTTATTTGCCTCAAGAAAATTTTACATTTTATAGACATGTCCAAACCTTAACCCAAATAACTAAAGATAGATGATAAAATAATTTGTAGTCCTGGGAATATAATCGAGGTTGACAATGATTGTGATACGGGATATTGAAGAATAAAAAAAACATATATGATCTACATACAAGATAAAATACACTTTAAGGGATGACTAAATATGAATACAGTAAAGTCCGGATATAGTGAACTTGATAAATGCATCAAAAAGGGTTCACTATATCCGAAGTTCATTATAAAAGAAAAATTTAGTCATATTGATTACACCTTTTTTTTATTGATACTCTTCAGATGTTTTTTTTATTTTAAAGTATATGGACAAACAAGCGTTTTTCATAATTTGTCAACTAGTTAGTATAATCAGATATTTTACTTTGCACAAGTCTGTTACTAAAACTAATGTTGCTTATATATTCTTCAAGGGTACAAAAACCATTCCAAACGTTTTCTGGAACTTCACGTGATTGCAAAAAATTGCGAATCTCCGTTATTTTTTGTGTCATGTCCTTTACTGATGGAACATTCATAATAACATCTGCCTCAGGTTGCTTCTCCTCATTTTCCTCATCATCACTTATGACTCCCACAGCTGCTTCTGAAAAAGAGTTTGAAAGTTTAAATCTAATCTTAGACTGCACTTGTTGTATGTTACCTTTTGAAAGTGACTGAATAATTTGCTCTTCTGTTAGGCATTCGGTTGACACAACATGATCATCTATTGATACATATTCTTCAAAATCAAAATTTTCCAACCTTTTTTTAATTTCTGTTTCAACTGNAACTTGAGTGCATAACATCCTTTTCTAAGTTTGCCGCAGACAATATCAATATGAGAAATCCATGAGAGCTTTGAATCAAAGGTAATGCCTAGCATTTTGATAGATTCAGAAGAAGACACGGCGTTAATGGTATTTTCAAATAACAAAAGCTGGTGGTGTTCCCGACTATTTGAACAAAACATCAGGGCATTAGTCTTTGATTTATTAATTATTAAATGGTTTTTGCCTGACCATGTTATCACCTTAACATAGGGAGTCTCAGCCAATAATTTTAATGATACTAAATCTTCTATAATCAAAATGTTTGTCGTCTGCATAACATGTTGTAATAATTTTATTGTGTTCATTCAAGTATGATATGAGGTCATTGGCAAATACTATGAATAGAAGGGGGCCTAATATTGATCCTTGAGGGACACCTTGCGTAATGCCTAAGGGATTACTGTTATTGTTGTTTATTTTAACAATTTGCTGTCTGTCAGATACATAGGATTCTAGCAAGGTATACAGCGTTCCCCTCAGTCCATACCTTGACAATTTTGATAATAGAATCTCATGACTAACACAGTCAAATGCTTTAGAAAAGTCTATGAAGAGGCCATAACAAGTTTTTTATCATCAAGAGATTGAATTATTTTGTTTTGGAACTCACATAAGGCTGTCTAGGTACTTTTTTTAGTTGTAAAACCGTGTTGCGAGAATGATAATAACTTGTTTGATGTGAAGAAACTGGTTAGTTGAAATTTGATATTCAATTCATATAACTTAGATATGCTGGCTAACACACTTATAGGTCTATAGTTGTAAAGATCATTGTTATCTCCTTTTTTTGATTTTCTGGAGATTATTTTGGAGAATTATTTTGGAGAATTATTTTGGACAAGTAAATCTCTAGAAAATGATTGAGTTTGTTGCGAAATACCTATTTTATTTTGATGTTTTGTGATATGATATTATTGAATATTAAGTTATTGTTACAATACTGTACGATTTTGAGTAATTTTTGGTGTTAACAAAAAATAAAAATAACTTTGCACCATAAACTTTGAAAATTATTTTACTCTTCAAGAAAATTGATTATGGTTAACACCATAGTTGTGTAATTCGTTATGTAACAGGCTTTAAAAATAAACCCTCGTATACAGGATGCTGTCTATTTATCGTTTTAGCAATTTTTTTTTCGTAGTCCCCATTTAAAAAAAATTAGTAAAAAATAAAACTACATTCAGATGGCCATGACTTCCAATCTGAACAACTTTTCTAAATAACATTTCTCGAGATTTTCCAAAATATGAGTACTTTACTCTTGTCTCAAAATCAAATATTTGAAGGCTCCTCATATATTACTTGTGTTTTACTGTTGTTGGTGCATGTTTAGTTTTAGGGGATGCACAAACTTTTATCAAGAGTAACATTTTGTTGAAAAACACTTAATAAATAAGTTTTCCATATGGTGCATACTTTGGGGATGACACTGTTTAACAAATTATTTTAATTTATTCTTTTATTTCCTATATATATACATATTAGGTTGTTTCAAAAGTTTGGTCGTTTTTATTTGTCTAAACTGTTATATCTCAGTAAATATTTATTCAATTTAATTGAAATGAGCATCATTTGAAATAGTGCCTTTTTGCCAACATAACACAAGTTGATCAATTCCGTCAGCATAAAAATTGAGTACTCGGGATTCGATGAAGTCGACGAAGGCCGATTTTGCCTGGTCCTGATTGGCGAAGGTTCTATTGGTGAGAAAATTATTGACTGCTTGAAAAGATGGTAGTCGGTTGGTGAGAGATCTGGGGAGTATGGTGGATGAGACGGAACTTCAGTGCTCAATTCATTTAATTTTCGGACGGTGATTTGCGAAACGTACGGACGGGCGTTGTCATGGAGCAGGATTGGACCTGTNTAGATAAATCCATGAAAACTCCACATGATAGATCTCCTTTGTCCATTGCTTCTAGGACTTCATTGCTGAGATACATCAAAGCAGTTTCAATTGACTTATTTTTCAGATAGCCATGCTGATTATTAGAAAACATTTTGAAGTTTGTAAAAAATTTGACTAATCGATTTACCATTGCTATTTCAAAAATTTTTGATATACATGTTAAAAGACTGATTGGCCTGAAGTTGGAAATGTCCGACTTATCCCCTTTTTTGTGAAGTGGTTTCACTATCGCTATCTTCAGTTCATCTGGAAAAACTCCTTCCTCAAAAGATTTATTGATCAGGAAGGTCAGAATACATACAATCTCATGAGCACAGCTTTTCAGTATGTGTATGGGTACTTCATCAATACCTGTGCTTCTCTTGTTCTTCATTTTGTTTATGCTCTGGTGTTTCACTGTTAATGAGGTAGTCGGATAGTCAAGGTGCAAGATTCCCACCTTGATACCCGCGACAACCTTCCCATGTGAGGGTTTTTGCACGTCAGCTATACCTGACGATGCCACATTACCGTGACAAGGCGATGGCTATGACGAGAGGGCGCCCGGCATCTCGATGGTTCCGTAGAAACAGCTGATAGGCTCAGTGTGTCATTCATCCTCTTGGCACGGATACATACACCTTAGGATTAAGCCATTGTTGGAATGCTATTCAGTTAGGGAATAACAGAACCACAAGTGATTCTGTCATTCCCATATCAAGTGGGCCTACGTGGAAGCAGGCATCCGATGGCCGGTTTGCTCAACCCCCACATCCTAAGCCAATACACTCGCCAAAAACAGCATGCACAGTGGTTCAGGCAGTCAAAGATGAACAAGAACAGCCAACCCACCCTTGCAAGACTTACAAATGCTCTGTACAGAGGCAAATTATTACGTGTCCTCCAATGCTGTTGGCGTTTGTCATTGTCTTTAATAATTTGTGTTGTTTCTGAAAAAGTGTCATCGCCTTACAAAAAACCAGTCATCAAGAGTCAGGCACGTGAAATAATTTTTAAAGTGTTCAACTATTTTCAAAGTGTTGATATGAATGTGTAAATATGAAAACGAATTACAAAGAAGTTATGTTCCATTTGCTACCCTAATTAAAAAATAATTATAG